CGGAAATATGCAATTATAAAAGGTAAAAGAACCTCTGCTCACGAAAATTGACCCACCCAAACCATTATTGCTTTGCTAATCCAAAGTATTCTCCCCACATTCAGTTTAGTGACCGAATGATATTCAAATCTTCAGACCCTCCAGCCAAAAGATAACATCTTCATCCTAGGATAACTGGGTTCCGGAAAAGGGCCCGCTTTACTGATAGAAGGAAATGTTACGGGTCAACATCACGAAAAAAGTATTGGTGTAAGAATAGGAACATCCACAATCAACAATAGCACTGAAGACATATGGGCACTAAGAAGTGACTTAGGCAAAGGATTCATTAGAAAATTTCGGCTAAGAAACTTCTGGATGGCTTACACACTTGTTTGCTGTTTTTTGCGCGTGGACCAGAGGAGCTCAGCTGTTATAACGTGTTCAGTTCCGAGTCGTGTAGGTCATATTTCGCTGTTGCCGTTTGTTGGATCGTTGTGGTCGAGTGACATGACTGTAGTTATATACTTGGTCGGTCGGTCTAAAAATTCAGGTTTTTCTCCTGCTGCTGAGTCGATAGCCTTCGACAAGCCTCGGTTTTTCTTTATCTAAAGGCCACGAAGATCACTTGGAGGGCCGTGAACTAATGCATATTTTTTTTTTGCCCACCCGACTGAGTTCCAAATGACTCCAAGGAGGCCATCAGCTTGTATCTCGACAGGGTTCTGTTGGACCGACATTTGCGAGGAAGCCTGTTGGAGTTGGGGTTGAGAAAGAAGAGACGGACATAGGTGTCCTATTAAGAGTTATATTTATGTCTTTAAGAAGAGACATCGGGGTACAAATGGTCCGAAGAATCATTTGGAATTGACAAGTATGAGTCTGGGTCTGATCGGGATCAAAATTTTTGGCCGATTGAAGCTGGAAGTAACAATTTGGTGATGCAAGAGAGACTGAAGAATGGTATAAACTTTAACTTTAGAAGCAAGTTGTTAAACCAAAGAAAGACAAACAACATCCGCACCGGAGACATGTCCAATGAGGATATGGATGTGGGTAGGGGGAAGATATTGGAGCAGAGACAACATCAGCCATTTAGCGGTGAGACTGAAGAAAGGTTGCTCCCTCCAAGATTCAGGGCTGGAATTCGATGTTTATTTGATAACAGTGTCTGTATAGCAGACTCATTTTCTTCCTCCAATACATGAGAAGCAATAGACCCGAGATAGAAAGGCAAAAATGGGGCAAAACAATAGGCAATGAGAAACACTGTTGCCAAGTGTGTTATTCTGCCGAAGCATCACATGAAGGCCCCATTAAGGTAGCTGAAAAGAGCGGAGGTCTCAATCAGAACTAAGATCTACTTTTGCCATGTTGACCTGCATGGAATCGAACTCATACCCAACATTTGGACTACTGGCGTGTATAAACTAACCAGTGGCTAGAACAGGGAAATAAGCAGCGGACATAGGTAATCCCATGGTTGAAGAAGCCTGGTTGCCACCAGCATTGATTGGGGCTGATGCTGTAGCAGCGGGTGGTGGAGGTGTGTTGCCACCAGAAGAGGGTGCCTTGTTAGGAAACTTGCGGAACCCACATCGTTCACCTGGTGAACAATGCGCCACTGGTCCCTTTGGAGAACCTCTCACAGTTGCGACAGTATTTAGCAACCACCTCCCCATCAACAGAAATGGTGTGTTGGGCATCATCGGGAATGTTCCCCCTTGGAGGCATGGAAGGAAGCTTGTCTTTAATAAGAATTGTGAGTTTGGAGTTGGTTTCAGCGCACTCCAAGGACGTTGTCCTGGTGAGCACCTCGCTTGGGACGTGCTGGATCGTTTCTATGATGGTCAGTAGCTCCACAATCCAAGCAGGCGCCTCCACGATGACGGGTACCGCCTCTGGCTGACCCACTGTTTTTATCCTGGGTGAGACTCCCAATTTTTGCCTCAACTGCTTTGCCAATTGCTGCCTGGAAGGCTGTGTCCTGGGATCCCTTTGGATCCGAAGATGTTTGGGCAGGGCTTCATAAGTTTTCTGGTTGATGAGGACCCAGTAGAGGGCATCCAAGTCAATCAAAGTGTCGAGTGCTTCTAATTGTTTTGTTCCATAGTTGCTATCAACTCCGTTATGTCACTCTTACAACGAGCTCATGGACTTTGGATCGAAATGATGGACACACCACAGCCAAGGAGACCTCTCAGGGTTGTGTTGGTTAGTCAGGCATGGGATATACTGGACATAAGTTAATCGAATCTCTTTGATGATCTTGCTATGCATCGTACAACATACATGACAACATTCTCCCCAGGGAACTTGGTGATTTCCAAGTAAAGTAGCTTGCTTTGAGGTTTCAATCTTAACTGAGAGAAGGTCTGTATATTTTCTGCAGAAGAGCCAAGAAGAAGTTGGGGCCCATTGGTTATGGCTCAGGAACATATGATTTGAGTTCTTCCTGGAGAGCATTCAGTGCAAGAATTTAGAACAAGCCTTTCCTGACAGGCAAGGTTTGTCAAATCATACTGGCAAACAGGATGTTGCTTCAGATTCCAGCATCGATGAGTCCGACCCCATGACTGTGAGGTCCTGATGCCATTTTTCCATCATAGACTCTGAGACCTGTCCAGGAGCAGTGAACATGTTGATTGTATTAATAGTGTTGGTATTGAGATCTCCAACAACAAGCTGGAAGACCCCTTCCATTCCATGTTCAGTCATCATACTTTCAAAAAGCGATGAGAGAGGCTAAAACATGGGACCCAGAGGCATTTGACTCAGTCAAAGTCGAGAATAGGAGACTGGGGAATCCTTCAGTCCTTTCTTGCATGCAATTCAATGGCTGGAGTGTAGGTGTGATGTTTTAGATGGTCGTCTCCATGAAAACCCCTGAGGCATAGGGTGCTTTGAGGTTCCTTTCCCAGTCCATCTGAGCCGGATCCTGTCCAGGCTCAGTGTGGTTGATACCTCCAAGCCGAGGGCTTCTGTAAGCTTGGTTTCTCTTTGGTTTTCCAATGTGCTGGAGGAGCTCTGGAATTGAACTGCGGTCAATGGTGCTCTGCAGTCATGTTGGAGGATCAGATGGTGGGATGATTGGATCAGATTCAAAGAAGGCTTGTCTGAAGCCTTGTGGACTGAACAAGGATGCTGATGCTGGCGCTGCTGTTGAGATGAAGATGCTGAGGCAGAGAAGCGTCGTCAAGGGTCCATCAAGTGAGAATCAACAAGAGGGCAATGGCACAGCGGCAACAGTAGAAGGAGCGGCAACAGGACTGCCCAACAAGAGGAGGAGCGCGGTGGATAGCTAGTCAATCGAGTCAATCGAAGCTGGAAGTTTATGAGCTTTACAACAGTTGAGTTCAAGCGAAGGTTCAAACGAACAACTGCAAGCCAGCAGTTCGAACGACCGATTCCAGTTCTAGGTTTCGAAACTGTTAACAGATCGCTCGTGCTGTTATGCTTCGAAACTGCCGGACAGATCGCTCGTGCTTCTATCGCCCGTGCTGTTTAGATCCGAACAACTGCAACGACAACTGCAAGCCAGTCTCCTTCTTCATTCGAACGACCAACAACAAACATCATGGAGCGATCGATCGCTCGTGACGTATCCGTTGGTTCAAAATGAAAAGTGAGGAGTTTGCGAAAAAGATATAACACAAGCATGACTCGAAGCCTGACACACAAGCCGAGCCTTCCATATGCAGTCGGAGCTCATTTTTCGATGAATTTTGCTGTTAACTCGGAGCTTGTTATCTCCGTCGATCGATCGATGGTGAGGCAAGCTTTAACGGTGGTTAGAGTAACAGTAATAGCAGTAGCAGTAGTAGTAGTAGCTCCTGCAGCGATCGAGATAATAGGATCCTCATTGAGATTACGATCGTCAATAGGATTAAGAAAGGTGGACTCCCATAGTATAGGAGTCCATCGTTGCCAAGGGGATTGCTTACGAGCGAATCCAAGAGATCCTCATCACGATGTTGGTCGATGACAGGATAAAGAACAAGAGGGTTGCTTACGAGCGAATCCAGCAGGTTATTGACAAGGGGATTGCTTGCGAGCGAATCCAAGGGGATTAAGTTGCAATAAGGGGAAGGACTACCGATGAAGAGTGCAAGAGGAAACTCTGGAGCAATCTGCATCAAGGAGTAGCGCAATCCATTGACAACCATAAGGGATAGACATATAAGAATAAGAATGAGTAACATCTCATAACCTCGCATGCTACCATGCGACAATACCATTGTGCATTGATTAATCTAGGGATCTAAGAGATGTAAAGTTTGTATTTCCAAATAAGTGAGCAGTTATTGATTATTTTCTAGAATAAGCCTGCCAATTGTAAAGCTGTAAAGCTGAATTGTAAGCTGTATCCCGTCGCATGCAGTGCCCAAGTACCTTCGTTAGCTGTTCCACGAAGAACCCAAATTGCTTGAAGCATTCAATCCAAGATGCCAGGACTCTCAACCAGGCAAATGATATACATTCTTTTCGGTGGTTTGCATTCTATTGCTTTGTCCACGAGGTGTCAGCCATACTCAGATGCTTTCAGTTTCACTCTGCTTCATGATTTTCGCAAGCAAATTCATCACAATCGTCAACAGAAGGATATCCTAGGATCTCATCATCAGCCTTTGAGGGAGGGTTGTTAAGATTCTGCTCAGCAGCAGTAGTGTTCTTTGTTGTGGTAGGGTTGTTGCTCTGAAGGACAAAACTTCGTGTGGTACTGGCCTTCCGTGGTAACTCAGTTGAAGATAGGACTTGCCTGTAAATCCAAATCCATGATTGCTGGGGTGCTGCCTTTCTCCATTCTTGTGCTTTGGTCCGGGTGTAAACGAAAAAATTAAGAGCACCCTGATACATGTACATGTACCAGCATTGCAAAAATGACGGGTCAGGGTGGGAACCACTGCTTCTATTCAATCAAACAGACCATGTCCTACCTGTAATGGAAGGAAGATCCATGTCAAGACCTGCAGAGCATAGGGCCCAGGCTGAGTTTGCATTGCAAGACTTTCTCTTGTGTTGTGAAGGCTTGCCAAAACCAAGCCAATAAATGGCCAGATAAACGTATTCCAATAAACAAGGCAATAGAGTGCTAAAGCAATAAATATTATGTGAGCCGAGGCAATTTCTTCGTGAAAATGGGTACAAACAATAGTCATTCACTTACTTGCTTGGATACGAACTTGTTCCAACCGTCGGGCATTGCTATCATTTGATTCTGCTCCAGTGAAATGATAGGAACTGCTTCGTCTGATTGTTTGCCGGACTGACCACCAGACCAGAATGGTACAAACGAATCCCAAAATTGCAAAGAAGCCTTGAAAGGGTATGACTGTCCGAATAAGACTCATGGCAGCCAGTGGGGATGACCGAACACATTCCACTTCATTGTTATCTTCGCATCCCCATGGAATTGGAGCATAGATACATATATTGCTGTAGAAAGGGGTTGGATTAATGGATTCTGTGGCCGCCGCTGCAATATTGATGGATATTGGAATCAGAACAGCAACTGAGTGCATCACCATTTCGATGTGCCTGGTAAAATCACGTTCTCTCCAGTTTCGAACCACTGTCAAGTAGTAGAAGACTCCCAAAAATCCATTGTAGCAGGAAGTGGCGATCAAACCAGTCATGAAGACAAACCCAATGGCAGTGCAACTTGCATGATTCCCACTGGCCCCAGGAACATTCATGTACGAAGGTACCATATAGGGAGAGAGCAAAAGGGAAATTGACGCCAAAGCATCAGCAAGGCTTAGAGAGAATAGCAGTCTATTCATAAAGCTGTGTGCCAATTCCTTGCGGGCAATGAACACAATGCCAAGAGATCCAAGCAGCGAAAGTGTGCTTGTGATGGATCCTAAGACTATCAGAGGAATTAGATGGCTCCCGTTTAATGAAGTTGACTCCATGACTGCCTCCATGGTTGGGAAAGCTCGCCACTTGTTGTCGCTGGCTCTGTCTAGCTAGCCACTCTAGCCATACCGTAGCCAAGGGTGGGATCTCGGCCTCTTCTCTGTGCTTATTATTGTGACATTGTAACTTGTCTTGTTGTACCGGTATGGTTGTGGAGGGGTTCTCACGTTCTCGTCGTTCGAAGAGCAATGGTGCAAGCTGAATGCGCTGTCTTATTAGAACTCATAAGTCTGTACCACGCACAATGTACCGGTACTACACTGTGTAGTACGGTAATTAGGGATTTAACCTTTGTGGATGAGAGGATTTACAAAACCCCATTATAAATACTCCCAGGGTGGGAGTGGTACCGGACCGGACGGTACCGCAGGTAGGCACACTCTCACACTCTCAGAAAGGAGAGGCGCCCAAAAGAGGAAGAAGAAAGGTTTTCAACCAAGTAGCCGAGAGTTTGTATGATTGAATGATTCGATTCTATCCTCGAACCATCATGCACATCATTGACTTTGTCCAAGACTTCAAGATTGGTTCCAGTCGGATTGGCCATCCAAGGAGCCATAAGTAGACAGGAGGAAATTGTTGTGCAGCTCTGGAGGCAATTGAAAGATGCAGCAAATTCTCCTTCTAAACAGAGGAATCAATCGATTGACACACAGCGGGGGGGGTCCGTCCGCGGTCAGATGCTGTTGTCCGAATTTCAGGCTCGTGAAATCACGTTGCAAACATTCTGCACTGGTGGCTTGTTCTTGTTGAACTTTCACTCTCAGCAGCATGCTGTGATAGCAAAGAATCTTTCAATGACGATGATATGCTCAGCCTTGACCACGAATCAAGACAATCTCTATCAATTGGATGGTGCCCCCCAAAAGGCCGTATGCCTCGTGTTCCTTCTTGCTGAAACGGAGATTCTTGCTCAAGGTTTCCGCATCCTCTGTCCATATTCGCTTTCCAAAATTTTCTGGGATGTGCTCACTCTTCTCCAAATTCATCAAACGAAACTTCTACTTCTTCGGCGGCAGCAGATTGTTGAGAATGACCAAAGCCCGTGGTTTCGACCGTTCCCGTGGTTGCTGTGAGAGGCAAGGTTGCCGGTATTCTTTGCGGCCTTGGGATTTCCGTGGTGAGAATGATTTGCCAATAGATCCACAATATGGAGCTTCGTGGCGCAGCTTTTCTCCATTGCTGGACTTTTTGGCGTGTGTAGACAATGAAGTTGAAGACGCCCTGGATTCAAGAGGATGTGAGATTCGAATTCAATCGACCACAATCGACCTTTCCATGACAAAACTCACCTTGAGGGGATAGAGCGTGGCGTAGAGCAGTTGCAACACATAAACGTAGATATCTCCATTTCGCTCTTCTACGGTCCCCGGGAGACTGCGCATTGTCACGGCAAGGATTGGCCACATCATGGAGTTTAGGTAGACCAAACTGTAAAGCACAGCTTGGATACTGACTTGTTTCAGGCGTTCCTCGTTGGCGGTGTCCCTGTCATTTCCAAATCGGTAAGAGGAACTGCGTTGAATGGTCCTCCTGACTGTGTTCCAGACCAGAAACGTGCAAACAAAGCCGACAATTGAGAATGTGGCCGAAACCGTATTGACACTCTGAAAGAGTGCTTTTGCCACTTCAACGCTGGACCTCTCACAATCATTCTTTTCACAGTGCCAAGGAAAGGCGGAAAATAAGCATTGGAAGTTCAACACTGGAATTGGATTGATGGTTTTTGTGACTGCTCCCACGAGGCCAATCGCCACCGGCAATACAATGGCCACATAGTGGACCAAGACTTGCAGCATTTTCGAAAAGTCTCGATCTTTCCAGTTTCTGCAAACCACCAGAAAAAAGTAGATGCTCAAAAAGGAATTGTAACAACAGGCACTGGTAGATGCCACCACGAAGAAGAATCCGCTGGTGGTGCAGGTTGCATGATTGCCCACGGCCCCCGGCAACCCCATGAAGGAAGGTATCAGATATGGCATGAGCAAACATGACATGGAATTGACAAAGTCGGCACAGCTCAACGCAAATAGGAGTCTGTGTTGCCTGTCGTTGCTCTTGAGAATTTCCTTGAAAGATATGCGAATGATGCAACTTGATCCGACCAGGGACAGTGAGCAGCTGATGGAGAGCAGAACGATCACGACAATGTACTTTTCACCATTGTCGAATGTTCCGGAAGGCGACGCCATGATTCGATTCAATCATTCATTCATTCGTTCTTTCGCTCGATGGCCCTCCACAAACTAAACAGGGAATCTACCAAAGTCTCACGAAAAGTACCCCCACAGCATTCTTCTTGTACTTCTCGCCAGATTGTTGTGGATGGAATGGAAAGGTCGGATAGCAAGAGGCAAAGCGGCTCGAATGGTGAAGGTGTGTGTGAAAGATTTTCTTTGTGCAGCTTTATGGTTAAATAAACCTCTGAGTACCACGCAAAGTAACTCGATGCGGCACCCAGAGCAATACTGAGATTTTCTGTTGGGAGAGATTGTGGGCATTGCCAGCTAGCTAGCTAGCTAGATCGGGCATCATTGCATAATATGCATTGGCACAATCTTAGCTGTAACGATGTCTTCAACAGAAGATGATCAACCTTACAGGAATACCACAAAAGAGGGAGCAACAACTGTAAGCAGTTAAGGGTTTGATGATGGAGCCATCATCGTACGGTACAGTAGCCTGGTGATTTCTGTGATAATCTCCCTGCTGGGTTCTGTGGATATACTGTTTTCTCTGAGCCTTTCAGATGGTATGTCTTCCATTTGCACCTTCCTCTCTCCTTTCCTGTTGCCTTCTTATATGGATCTTCCTGGGGCTGGCTATCGGAAATCATTCCAGTTTGCATCGCTGTGGGGTTTTGGTTCTTGTGTGCAATGTCAGCCACTTCCTGCTACAATGACTTTTTGGGGGGTCATCTACCATGGCTCGAAACTGGAGGGAACACGATTTTGCCAGGCATGTTGAAATGGCGATCAGTTCCTGTTCTGGTTCCAATATCCATCAATATTGCAGTGGCAGCCACACAATCCAGGTCAATCCAATCCCTTTCTTCAGCGCCATCTGTGCCTATGCTCCCATCCCAAGGGAATGTAGCGAAAGGGATGTAGAATGCATTCTACCCCACACTCTGCATGTATTCTGGTCAAGACTCTCATGCCATTCCAAGGATGCTTTGCCATTTTGGGATTTGATTGCATCGTCATTGTCTGGTCATCTGTCCGGGATACCATTCGAAGGGGCAGTTCTTGCAAGTTTGCTGGAATGGAGGCTAGTGACAGTAGGAAAGCCCAGTGCTTCCATCCCACAGAGTCATCCTTCCACCACAACCAATGTTACTCAGAACCACAATCCTGATGGCATACCCAACAACGTTTGCTTCAAAGTTCGGGATGACATGCTATCTAGGATATGCCTCCTTTGATGATTGTGATGAAATTGCTTGTGAAGAGCAAGAACCTGAGTGCCTTGGTCTGTCAACAGTGAATCCATCTGAGCACAGTAGCCAGTTGCAGCACCAAGCAACAAAATCCAAATCACAAATTTGCTTGTGAAGAGAATAAACCTGGGTGCCTTGGTCTGTCAACAGTGAATCCATCTGAGCATAGCAGCCAGTTGCAGCACCAAGCAACAAAATCCAAATCACAAATTTGCTTGTGAAGAGAATGAACCTGAGTGCCTTGGTCTGTCAACAGTGAAGCGATCTGAGCATTGCAGCCAGTTGCAGCACCAAGCAACAAAATCCAAATCACAAGGCAGAGCATGGAAGCTGTGTGACTTTGGAGAGTACCAGCACGCTGCAGTGACAGCGTGATACAGTTATTGATGACGATCCATAGTGAATGAAACTCAGTCCGTTCGCCAAAGGCTGACTGTCAACAGGGCGTGCACGTGTCAACAATATGCTAGGCAGCACACACCGGGATCACTAGGGCAACTCTTGCCCTTTGAGGTTGTTGTCTGACTAGCTAGAGCGTCAAGTCAAAAGTCAAACATTTTGGAAATGTTTTGTAGACCAGAACAAATCAAATTGCTTTCGTTCCTACCAACGGCAAAGCGACAAAGAGTACGACTTCAGCAGAACGGTCCGGCAACAGGTCTTTGAAAGCGAAACGGCTGTACTTCAGTTGGCAGTAGGAAATTGCCGTATCCACAGCGAACTACAGCCCATGACGGAGGTCAAGTGCATAGCTTTTGCCAAGCGCAATTAGGCCACAGAGACCATGTTTTTATAGCTTCTTATGGAAGATTCCAAGTTATTGACTACCAATGGAAAACCCCGAGGTCGTTCTATGCGATTACCCAGTACCAGTCAAATCTACTCTTTTTTGCTCGGGAACAGTTGCCGGAGGCTTTCCAACAAGGTTTCCTTCAATGCAACGATCAGCGTCCCGTCCTTCGCTTGTTCGACTAAGGAAAGCAACGCCTGCCGAATTACATTCAAGAAATTTTCAATGTCCCGCACTGAAAGTTCCGCTGAGGATGGGCGCCCAGTTTCTGCTGTGAGCACCAGAGGAACGCCTGAGACAACTCGAGCACCATAAGGGTTGCGATTTGACATCCAAGATTGCAGAAGAGCCGCAGCCGCCACCGAACTAACCCCAACAAAGATGTACGTTGCAGCTGATCCAATCCAAGTGCCCCGATTCTCGCGACGGCGCAATTCCATCATCGCGTTGTCTTTTTCAGCTTCCATCGCTTTCGATCCTTTTGAACTCGTCGTCATACGCCACAAGGGTTGCTCGATCAGTGGAACCAGACTATGACTGGAACGAATGCACTGAATGAAGCAACGAGCCTGGTGCTGCTGTTTGGTTTCTCATACGCGGCCGCAAATACCGAAAACGTCTAGTTTTCGCTCGTAAAGCATTCCACGATGCCTTCGTTTGAAACGGTCCAGAAAAATCTCTGGATTGAATCCAATCATTCGCGTTCGATTCATTCGCAACTCCACGATAGCTTCTCGCCCGAGTGAACATTGGCGTGTGGATAAACCACTGGTACCGTACGGTATGCATTAGTCTAGTATTTGACGCACCTCCGCTGCGTTTCCTCTTGGTGTTGCTGTGAGACGTGGAGATGAGGACCATCTACCGGTAGTCCAAATGAATCAGTGGGATCCAATGTCATGAATCGAATCTCATCAAAGTCGAGTGGGGGCGACGTGACCTGGAACCTGGAACGGCGAGCAACCGCAAAGTGACAGAACTTCGAGTGACACTCGAGCCCCCGGTGACGGCAAGCCCATGTCATGTCCATGCTCCCCCGTTGCATTTCGAGCAGTCTCCGCTGGTCCTGTCAACAAAGAGCCAGCTAGCTAGCTCTGGGAGCTGAGCGAGGCCAGTGATCCCGCTTTGATGCGAGGGAAGCTAGCTAGCTAGCAGCTGGAAAGCTCACCTACCGGTACCACCATCTGTTCCGGTGGATTGATCATCCGGTCTCGTAGTCTACGTAATTTTCGTTTCGAGCGTTGGCGTGGTTGGCGTGATGTGAGATTCCGTTGGAAACAAATTAGAGTTAGAGACCTCACGTCCTTTGACACTGCGACACGCAAGTGGGAGTCGTAATGCTTTGATCCAGTTAGAAATAGAGTTAGAGGACCCAGTGACACTGCGACACGCAAGTGCGAGTCGTAAAGCTATGATCCAGTTAGAAATAGAGTTAGAGGACTCAGGACTCATTTTGTAGAGCTCAAAATAGCGGTACTACGTAGGTTCTACAGTAAAACCATACCGCCGGTTCCTAGCTGTTGCGGTACCCTTTGGTACCCCTGTACCGGTACCCCACGTGCGAGGGCATATACGACGGGGCTGTAGTTTCGACACTTGAAGGTCACAAAGAAGAAAAACGGCGGTGTTGTGACCTAAAGTCCCTTTTCTTTTTGCGGTTCAATAAGCACAATCATTCATTGTTTTACGAGGGGTTTAAAGCGCGTTCACCTCAATAGGTTTTTGGGTCACATAAATGACTCTTTCTTTTACTTCTATTCGGATAGCAAGATCACCTTGCCCCTTCACATCAGATGCCGGTGTCAAGTGCATGTTCGCTTCTGACTGTGGTGGCGACGCTATGATAGTGCAGTGATGTTGTCTTCGTCTTCCTTGGGCTCCAATCGCATCTCATTATTTTCAAAACTAAGACTAAGCAAGACAGCAGTCGTTCCTCTCCTCGACTGACAGTCAAAGAGAGTGCTCCAATATATCGTTGGAAAGCTCCCACAAACCAAAAGAAAAGACAACGGATTCACATACATTATTATCAACCATGCGTGCGAAATATCATCTTCCAACTACATTCCTCCTTCTCTTGGTGGCCGACTGCTCGGCACTCTTCAAACACAAGGTGCGCATTGTGGCATGTGTGGAGAAGTTAGCTAGCGGCAACGTCCGAATGTGGGATGAACCATGGCAAGGAACCCCCGAAAGTGACGAGGCTTGGGATACCTACTATGGAGGTTCTGTGGAATCTCTCGGCCGGGGCAAAGTGTGGAGCAAAACGTGGACATCGGAACTGGACCTCTTTGACAACAGCACCGAGGCGCACCCGAACGCATTTCTCTTTCAAGACTTGGTGTTGGGTGGAGAAGATGATGAAGTGTGTATCTCGGACATTCGAGCTGAAACCCAACAGAGCGACGGCAAGTACAAGGTGCGATGGCGTCTCATGGAAGACTTTTGGTTGGCGGGCTATGGCTCCAACTACTATCAAAAGAGCAGAATCAACAAGTCCCCCTGCTACACGGAGCTTCAGGTGGGAGGGTGTGCCGTCACCTTTGCCAGGGACAATGACGATGGTGTGGACCACTTTATGAAACACGTTGCTACCTGTAAGGATGGCCGACCTCCAGCATCAGACGACGAAGAGGGCATCAATGTCCGAGAGCTCTTTCCTCGGAGGAGGCTGGGAGCTCCCCTCTTGCAGCAAGCCGGTCACGCTACCCACGAATTCTAACTAGCTGGCCAGTTAGGTAGCTATGCTGATAACTGCTGTGGTACTGGGACGGGATGACAGCGAGGGTGTTGGTGCAGTGCGACCAATGTGTTGCTGGGGATGGGTAGGAGTGGGGCCAGGCAGGGGGTTGACAAAGGGTCTCATCCTGGTGATATGTGCCTTGAACACGCATTGAGCAACTTCCAGCAAGCATAACATGTACCAATCTAATCTAATAACAGAATGTATGAACAACAAATGCCTAGTAGTTCTACTCCAAAGACACCCACAACAGGCCATACCGGTAGGATGGTTGGTTGATTGATGCAGCCGACACGTGCTTTGCGAAGGCTCTTCATCGGACGGCCACCACACGTTCCACTTTCCCACCACCGTGCATTGCTGTGGCAGCCACCACGGCAGCCAAAACGAACACCCTGTTGGCGAGTGCTCCTTCATTGATCCCAAGTCGTTTCAAGGCATACCGTGCCCTGGAGAGGGGGTCGGTTCCATGCTTCTTGACCTCTTTGTCAATCTTTTGCTGGAGAATATGTCTCTTCTTGTTCTCGGCCTCCAGCTCCTCACATTGCTGAGCCCCCGCCTGAGCGCTAGTGTCACCTGGGCTCTGACGACTCGATACCGGCACCAGTACCGTGTCGGATAGTATATCTAGATCGTTGCCCCCTTTCACACTGTGATTGCCATCCCTGCCACTGACAGCACGGCTGACAACAACAGCAGGTTGAGGAATCCAGGTTTCCTTTTTCTGTACACCGTATACAATCTCAAAGACTATTGTCTCGGTTGCAATCTCGACGCTATTCTCTGTAGCCTCATTGTTGTTGCGTTGCTTGGAGTTTTGGTTTACAACGTCATCATCATAATCATCAAAGTAATCTTCCAATACTTGGACCAGGTCATTTGTTGAGTCGACAGTGAGGGTAGTGCCACTGCTTAGTTTGTAGCAAATAGAGCGCTTTTGTTTCATCAACTGTCGGTAGCCATCGTACTCGGAAAATGCAGTATTGGAAACCAACAATGCATCAATCATCTTGTGAAAGTAAGGATAGTCCACACTATCACGGTTGAGAATTGCCATTTCCAAGCTGAACGAGATGGATCCTAGAATTGTCATGGCAAGAATGCATTACATGTAAATCAAGTAGAAGACGGTGAGCATCGGTCAACTTGAGAGATATCTGACAATACGGCCACTCGTTCCTGCCACGAGCCACGCAGCTACCGACCTCTGTCTGCCACCACTAACAGGGCAGGCTGGTGATGGTTCCGAATGTTGTCCAGCAAATGTTGCCGCCTCTGGATTTGTTGATGAATTATCGACATGATCGGTTGATTGATTGTGATCAGTAAGTGCACCTTTAGTGTTGGAAGGGAATGAAACAGAGAGATTTCTCTTCCAAGTTTCGAGGTTTTGAACGAAGGCGTGCCTTGTAACGAACCGGGTTTGTCGTCTCAGCATGCAGAAACAGAAGTTTCCTGTTACTATTATCTCCCTGAGAAATCTAACTTTCTCCTCTGTCAAACAACCTGATATCTTGGTGGCAAGGACAGCTCCTGGTCAGTGGTACCGTACACCATCCCCTCTTCCTTTTTGCTGCTGGCGCTGGTGGTCGAACACATCCTTCGACGAGGCAAAAAGCATTGTGTGTTTGCGAAAGGGACGTCCCGTGATTGTGTGTGTATTGCCGAAGGTATTTAAGCAGCCGCCAGACCAACGTACCGCTTGCTCGGACGTCCTGCTAATTATCCTTGGTGAGGGTCAAAGGTCTTACGGTACAAAAATGTAGTAACAAATCCGCTCACAAAAATGAGCATTTTCGGCGATGCATTCATTTCTTTCAACCTGATTACAGCGCCTCTTGTTCGTCGTGGGCTCTTGCCAAGGCACAAGCCGCAATCGCTTGGTGCACCGGGTTTTGTAGTGCACTATGTTTCGAGAGAGGGATCAGACAATGATGATGGAGGCAAGCACCATCACCTATTCTGTATCCTCCTGTAGCGACTCCATGATTGAAGCTAGCAAAGACTTTGTGATCAAGCTCTTGGTGGAAGAGGAAGGTAAGTGTGCCGCAGTGCCGGCCAGCATTGGAGCAATGACGACATCAGTCAGATACATTGCCTCACTATACTGTTCTCCCTCATCAGGAGTAACCACTATTCGTAGAATTCGTCTCTTTCGCATTGTCGAGCAAGGGGGCAAGATCTCTTATGATAGACTTGTCCGACTTGTGAGCTCCAAAATACGCTACCTTCATATTGACGATGTACGCTTATCCTACCTCGATGTTGACGACGATTGTGTGGTTGTCGACTCCCCTGATGAGCTAGTTGATGCTATCGACCAGTTCAATGATCAAAGAGTGCTAAGGCTCTTTGTGGGAGAGGTTACCCCATCCATGAAACAAGCCTATTACGCACACGGCGGCGTGGGAAATGGACATCCCAACAAGAAAATGACGTTCAATGGAGATATGCAACAAATGATTGAACGACAAATAGAACAAGTTCTGGAAAAGAGATTTCGATTACTGGAACAGAAACGACGGGAACAAGAACAAGGGGCAAGAAGTGGACCAAATAGTGCCAATCCAAGAGATTTTCCTACACAATCAGCACAGCGGGTTGATATTGGTATCCGAGAAGAACCATCGCCACCACAGCAGCAGCAACAACAACTTCATCACCAAGCTTCTCCCAGACGTTCACCACAGTCACCATCGTCCAACAATCAAAAGCCACAGACACAATCGCGCCACGAATACTCGCCCCAAAGAGGAAACGAAGGGTGGTACGACTCGGATGTGATCCGCCTTGAGGACTATAGCTCGAGCGATGGCATCCCAGCGGAGCCTTTGGTGGGCGAAGAGGAGTTTCTGCCAAACGAAAACAATCCCCGAAATCTCGCACGGATTCGAATGCCTTGGGAAACTCAAGAGGAAGTCGTGGATAGACGTCCGCCAAGGCCACGGAAACATGCAACTCCAGGAAACGAACACAAGCGACACAGTTTTGACTATCCCGCTGGGGACTATAGGGGTAGCATGGAGCAAGACGAATATGACCTTTCCAGAATTAATCGGCATCGGCAAAAGCATTCCTCGCGGAGGAATCATCACCATCATCATCACCACCACCAAAGCCTTGACAATCATCGTTTGCCATCAATGACAAAGCGAGTCAACATAGGTCGAGATCCGGTCCAGACTCTGGATACACGGTTTTTGATGAATTCGCCAAAGCAGGCAAAGCCGAAAGAACCAAAGAGTGGCTATCGGACGCATCCGGTGGACCACATAATGCCGTCTGCGAACGATTCCATGACATACATCGACGACGAAGACGACTTTCATCCTGACGAAGAATACGACGATGTGGACGTAAGAGACGATGAAGAAGACGACCGTGACTTGGATTCTGACCTTAATAGTTTGTCGCCTCGAAATCATCACCACCATCACCAACAACACCAACACCATCACCACCATTCTCAAAATGGGGCAAGCATGAATGATGACGCTCGTTACCTCCAAGATTGGGAAACGAATACCGTCGATAGCGACGCGGAGCTGAGCCTGTTGTTGAGCGACACTGATTTTCGGGAACACCTAGAACACCGCGACGACACGACACGCGGAGGAGCAATGACTGTTGCTTCGTCGCATATGGGTAGCGTCGACGAGGAACGGGAGAAAGTTATGCCTCCTGAGGAAAGAACACAACACCATGCAGAAGATCAGAATCAGGACCCAACTTCACCACCTCCAACCTCGCCAGCACGGCCTCCTCCCTCGACACCACTCCCGCGACCACCCGCGACTCCCCGTTCACCACCACCATCCAAGCCACCTCCAAAATCCCCACAACAACCACAAAGCACTATCCAGTCTCCCTTGCCAAGTACAGCGTCGCCACCAACCAAGGCAAACACCACTCCAAACAAGACTGCATCTCCAAGCAGCAATTCATCCACACCAAACAAAGCCAACCTGAAACCACCTGTTGGGACGAGGAGCAACTTCAATAACATCCCACGACCAACACCGCCGGCAGCCAAAAAGAACAAACTGTTGGGAATTCTCTATAACAGTGAATGATCAGACACAGAATAGTGCTGCCAGGATGGTCACAGCTTGGGAACTGGTGAAGAGGGGTATACTTTACTGGCTGGAGCTGCATCAGAAGTGTCTCATGCACCTCTGATGCAGCTCAAGAGCTATGCTTTTGCATGATGGAATGTTGCGTCAGGGACGGCGTTGGTGTGAAGGTTGTATCTATGTAGTTGTCTTATTAACGTTAACAAGTAAAATGTAATGTCTAGCAACCGTAGAACAAGGTTTTCAACGCAAACGAATGAGAACTAAATGTTGAAAGCATAGAATGATAGTCGGATGTAGCCACCCAAAGGCACATATCAATATGGATACCATGCCTGGCTCTGAACAGAACCAAAAATATGGCCCCATTCTCTAGCTACAGTAGAAGTAGATCCTCCAGAGGCCCAGATCGTTGACTTGCGCCAGTGTTACTGTACTTGGGGAACCATTTCCAGACCCGCCCCTAATCTCTCGGCCCACTCTTGGACCAATCATCATTCCTGGGTCCATCACGAGGATCCACTCCATCCCCAAACACCAGGCATCACTCCTGGACCCATTCCCAGACCAATCCCTTGCCCAAGTTATGAACACATACCAGGACCCTGACACCATTCCTGGTCCAAAAAAACAAAAACAACTCCAACCCCAGGACCTAAACCAAACCCAGGTCGTTGACCCACACTTCTAGGCCACATTCCTGGACCCAACCCCAGACCTATCCCCAGACCTATCCCTCGCCTAATTCTTATCCTTACAAAGACCTACACCATGACCTGAACCTACATCTGGCCCAATACCAAAACCAACTCCAGGATGCACTCCACCCCCAGCACCATTCTGCACTCTTGGATCCAACTCTGCCCGCATTCCTTGCCAAACACCCTGTGTAAGACCCTCCCCTGGTGCTGGTGCCGGTCCTACTCCTGGACCATCACCAGAATCAGCTCCAGGACCCTCTCCTGGCCCCATCCCTGGTCCAGCCCCTTTAACCACACCAGGACTCCCAGTCAGACCCAATCCTGAGCCCACGCCTGCACCTGCACCTGCACCTGCACCTACCCCTGAACCAAAAAGATTCTTGATAGCTCTGTAGATTCAGGTGCATACCATACCTGAGGTATAAAAGATCCCACAATCAGTTACTCAGTACATGTATTGTGGAGTTACTAGAGTGGCATTGGTTGCAGGTAGAATGAGAAGATGCAGCTGCACAGCTAGCTAGCAGGTAGATTACGGTAACTAGATTCCAAAGTTGCTGGATCTCAGAAACCAGAAAACTTCCCAGGTGAGAATGCAACGGAACGTGCGAACACACTACGTACTTGTACTTGAGCTTGCACATACCGGTTACCGGTAGACTTGCTCATTATTGTATTTATTGTTACCAGAACGGAAGTCTGGTGCATTGTAAAAAGTTGCCAAGGATCGTTGTCCAAATGCATTTCTTGCCTCCAAAATGTGGCATAGTAAAGCCCAAGGCTTTTATCCGACCGTTTTTACTAGCTGTTCCCCAAGACTCCTCTCGCAGTTAGAGACCACATGTTCAAATTGTATGTGTATCTGTCACAACACCAAACTTCTTAGGTAAAATAACGAGCAACTAACGACACTATTGGCTTTTCATCCGTGCTGGCTTCAACGAAATCAACGTCTCTCAATCGGAATGGAATTATCGAAATCTTTGGGTGGGAGGGTGTGAATTCATTTCTTTCATTCAAATTACCAAGCTCCTCTTGACCAGACCAAGACGACAATGATGAGGCTGCAATACTCTCTCGTGCTATGCCTAGTGTTTTCTGTAAAGCTGGGACAAAGTAATTCAGCGCTGTCTGCATTCTCTGGTAGACGCACACGAGAAGATGAAGCAGTTCCAGTGCAACCGCGGGTTCGAGGTGCGGCTGCCCAGTCCGAGCGACAATTTCGTTCAAGCTCATTGCTGAGAAAGCTCATGAAGGATGAGAAGAACAAAGGAGGGAAAAACAATAACATGGGCGGTGGCAACAACAATAACAATAACAACAATTTCATTGGTAGAGAGTTCGAGGACGCCAATGAGTTCAACGCCAATGGTTTGTCCGAACCACCAGGTGGATGTGCAGATCCAAACATACCAGATGTTCAAGCGCGAAGAGCCAATTCCCTCACTGACCAAGAGTGCGTTACAAACTCCTGCACCGGTGGATGTTGCCGAATCTACAACTGGTTGATTTGCGACGAAAGCAACAGCTATGACCATCTGGCATGTGTCTGCAATCCCAACACCAGTCCTCCACCACCCACACCTTTTCCCACCATGGCACCAACTCTCCCGCCCACTACTCCTGCGCCAACAATGCCCCCTCCCACTACCTCGATGCCCACTCCACTACCAACTCTTCCTCCCGTGGCAACAGCTGTAACACCAGAAGTGGAGCCTCTTTTCAACTTTACGGACAACAGCACCGTCGCTGTGGATCGAGAAGACCAAGGTGGCGCAGGGAGCATTGACGTGGGAATTCCCTTGCCAGCGCCCACCACCGCGTCCCCTACGACCTCGTCACCTACTACTTCTCAACCCACTCCATCCCCACCAACTACGTCTCAGCCCACCCCATCACCGCCAACTACGTCGCAGCCCACTCCAACTCCAGGACCATTGCTGCCCTGGCAGCAATGTTCAACTGGATCCATCTACCATGGTAATGGTGCCACTGATTGCCTCTACGCCGAGGATTGTATTGTCAAGGATGAATGCTGCATACGAAACTTTTGCCTCTGTGGAAATCCGGGAGGTATGGATTCGGAATGTGTTCCATCTAGGTTCATCTAGAGACCTCCAATGCTTTTGTTGTCGTCGACGACAAGCCAATGGCGACGCTTCTTTTTTGTGATACAGGATGTCTGCCTGAGCTGCTAGATAGGCTCCTCCTGATACTACGTACTTGTGACAACCACAGAGTCAACTTGTTTCTTTTGCACTCTAAAATAGATACTTTTATTATTATTCTCTTCATTTCACACCTGTATGTACAGTCATTGCCTTTTGACGACCATGCAAACGTAACACGAGGCAAAATGCTTATCGTCCTGAAGGTATGGTATGGTTTACCACCAGCCAGGAATGTCGTCTCTTGTAATACGGTAGTAGTCACCATCCCACCGCAGGTTCAAATCAATACTCCGAGTAATTGAATGAATAGACCTATCGGGTGGAAGATGATACCTAGACCCAGTGTATGTTTTGTTTCTTGCGGAACAAGTAGATTGTAATCCTGGACCAAACTCTTGAAATTTGGATTGTCCAAGCCATCGAAAATGACCAAGTGGGTGGGATGGTGGACTAAAAGTGCTACTGTATCTGGCTTTCAATCAGCCATGGCTTTCAATCAGCTCTGAATTGAGGTTCGCCAAATTGAAACAGATGGCCACGATGGAGTTGCGACTTGATCTTGCGGGGAAGGCTCCTGACTTTTGTCCAGGACCCAAAGACTGCCAAGCTGCAAGGCATTGGATGAGCTGCAAGATCGATCAGAGCTGCTGGTACATCTTACTGAAACTCTTACCGGTACTGGTAATGTATCCCCCAAGATTGGCTGTGCCATGCCACCGGTACCGTTGGCTTGGCCTGGCTACGGTACCTGGTAGCCATCTTCAGTGACCAGCTGAGGGTCACCTGCAAGGAGATTACCGGCAGGCGTTTTGGTAACTAAGATGTATTACAGTAATTAAAAGATTTCAATGATTCTACGGTTATCAATCATTCGAAAACTCAACTGTCACACTGTCACAATTTCCAAACAATTTTGCAAGAGGCACCCCCGATTTGTTCGTATCAGTGGATGTAGTTAGTTTATGTTGCAATCGGAAGCTGGATCCAGCGAGAAGGTTCTAACGTCGACCCTGATTCGATCTGTGCCGGCCGAAAAAATGTCTGGATCCTGTAACCAAGAACCAAAAAAAGGATAGCTCAACCCACCCCAATCATGCGTGTTTGTTTCTCACATCAGCTCACTTACTTTCGACTCCTGCAGAGACGACCAACATCCTCCTCTCATATTCTCGCAATTTCAAAAGACATATATCATCATGGTTTCTCTCCGGCTTGTAGTATTGATTGCAGCATTGACTTGTGCTAATGGGTATACCAGAGGTGCAGCACAAATTGAGGAAGAAGATGCCAAGGCACTTGAATTCGAGCAGTTCAAGGAGGCCCCAAGAAAACTAAAAAGGAGCGAAAAGAAGAAGCCTTTGACCCAGGGTGGAGGCGGAGGCGGCGGAGGAGGAAAGAACAAGGGAGGAGGAGGAGGAGGAGGCAACCGAAACAACGGCAACGGCGGTGGAGGTGGAGGTGGCAGTGGCGTTATGGAGGATCATGCATGTGTTCCATTCAATGCTGAAATTCAAGCTCGAGCAAGCTTGAGCCTGTCTGACGATGCCTGTAGGGCTAATGAATGCGGTGGGGGCTGTTGCCGTGTCTATCATTGGCTTATCTGCGACACTGGAAATGAGATGCCCCAGCTTTCTTGCGTTTGCAACGGCAACACCGCAGCTGTTGCCACTCCTGCTCCGGTAACTCCAACTCCTCCTCCAGTCCCTGTTACTCCCATGCCCACACCTAACCCAACAGACGTTCCGGTTCCAGCTCCGGTTCCAGCTCCGGTTCCAGCCCCGGTTCCAGCTCCGGTTCCAGCTCCGGTTCCAGCTCCGGTTGCTGTCACCGAAATCAAGGATGGAGACGGACTCAGCACACCCCCTACTCCTGGAAACAACGGTCAGAACAACGCTGCTCCTGGAAACAACGGTCAGCAGATGACAAAGCCACCATACACTGGTGGAGCTGCCGCAGATTCTTGTGCCAGTGGCTCCCCTCACCACAATAACCCTCTCTTCAGGGATTTCACTCGGTGCTTCAGTGCACAAGACTGCCCCATGGCGACTGAATGTTGTATCCACTCTTTCTGCTTCTGTGGTGAGCCCGACAGCTGGGACGGCGACTGCGTTGCCCCCACAACAGACACCCAAAAGTAAGTAGCGAGAGAGATGCAATGACTTAGAGATAGTGCCTTGCTTCCACATTGTTTTGGATTGAAGGACAAGCTTGTTTTGGCGGCTGGCACAAGACTCCTACACTTGAGTCGACACGGACTAACTTCTTAAGAACATAATACAAACACACACACGTCGAACACTACAGTACAATAGCGAATTGATAAGCCATCATAAATGGCCTTTTGTTGAAGACTTTGACTTTTGACTTATCCTTCGTACCATACCGCTAGTGTTTTGTGGTTTGGGAATCGAATCCAACGACTCAAGCAGCCTCGTCAATCCGGCCCAGGCTTTTAAAGTGCTGAAGCCCAGCTTGAACCATTCTGAGACTGCTTCGGTAGGTTGAGTTGGCTAGAGTGCCTTGTTGTCTTGAAGGCTAGTCGACCGCAGTGGGCATCCGCGTCAATGAAATAGATGGGAAGGCTTCAAATTCCTGAAGTGATTAATAGTTGTTATTGCTAAGATTTCTACTGCGCCAAAAGCTTGACAAGATGGACTTGTCACCCAACCATACCCGCCACTGCAGGGATCAGGTCAGGAAGGGGGCATTGGTCCTGCTAAGCTCCCGTCAGGACAGGTAGACTACTTGATGCTGATTGATGCATTGCCTTTTTAAAAGAAAGTATGTATGTAACTCTTGGAATTCTTTCTCTAGCGCCACCTATTCGTGCTGCAAGTTGTTGCCGTCGTTGACAAGATGACGGAACCAAGAAGTTCCTTTCTTCGCAACTCCAGCTACTGCGCCAGTAATTGCAGTTAGCGTTGAAGCGTTGTCACTTGTATCTCTGGTCATTTTCGCTACAGGTACCCTCCTCGTACGCGAGGACATCTGTGCCACCGTGGATCGCTCAGATCTTGACGACTCAGATGTTTCGCTTTCGGAGATGAGCTCAAGATCGCCTGGGTCTTTCAGACCTGCCCTCTTCTTTGGGGGTTTCAGTCGAGACCAGGCTGATCGGGGCAGAAACGTGGTGTCAAGTTCTGAGTCAAAAAGATCATCAGCACCGGCATCAGCAACATAGAATTCGTTGCCGAAACCCTTGGAGGGTTTGTAATTATTAAGAAGCGGTTCATCGACCCCGGGGGTTCGTTCATCGGAAGCGGAGTTCGGAGGAGGGAATGAAGCTCTGGCATGATCACTTGGAGGGTTGAAGAAGGAAGCAGTCGTGACTGGGCTTGTGAAAGCCGGGGCTTGAGCCTCGGATGCCGTTGGGGTTTTCTGAGATTTCGAATTTTCGTTATAGCTGTCATCATCTTCACGAACCTCGGCCATTGCTCTCTTGCTCATTTGCGAGCCTCTACGGACCACTGGTACGGATGACACTTGGTCAGGTGGTGCTTTTAGCTTCCAGGAGTGATCGACTCTGGATCTTCCCGGGATTTGCTGGGCCACTGGTTGCTTTCTGGCTGACCATAATCCTGACTTCTTTTTGGAGGAATTGGTTCTTCTAGTTGTGCTTTGTGATCCAGGATCGACCAATGGCGAATTGGGCGGAGACTTCGGCTCACCGAACTGATTGGCATTGTCGTTTCCTTGTGTCTGCTGGGCATCCGATTGTTTTCTGGCTGACAACCATCGTGTCTTCCTCTTGACTTTATTTGCTGGCCGTTTTGTTGGTTGTGGGCCAGGATCAGCTACATGTACTGGCCTTGTGTCGGGCGATGACTTCGGCTTTCTAGACGATCTTGCGCAGGATTTCCCTGTTTGCCGAGCAGCTGGTTGTTTTTTGGCCGACAACGAAAATCCAGAAATCTTCTTGGAACCATTTGCTGGCCTTTTCTTCATTTGTGAGCTTGAGGGTGATGGTGTGTCAGGCGATGACTTCGCCTCACGCGTCTCTGTTGGCGGCAAGGCTGACTGCTTCTTCGCAGGAGCCTTTTCTGACTCGGGTGTTTCCCCAACGACAGGCTTGGCAACAGTGTCTACGACCGGGGCACTACTAGATGGCTCTGCCGTGGCGTTGGCAGACTCAACCGGTTCACGACCCCTGCGGGCACTTCTTGGTCTGGGCTGGACCACTACCACAGGATGATCAACAATGGTTGGTGTCCACCGCTTGAAATTCTTGACCTTTTCACGCTCTTGTGTTGAAATTTTTTCCACATCCCATCGGGCCATGACGGGCTTTAATTTCTTGTTATTCCAGTTGGAAGGACCCTGTTTCGTGTCCGAAGGATTATGGGCGTTGTCACAATCTTTCTTGCGCTTGACGGAAACACCTTGGGTCTCTTGTTCATTGGATGCCAGGCCCTTGACGTTGGCTTTGGCAGGATCCCAAAGAGCCGGGTGCAGGGCAAGGATTTCATAGAGAGGGGTGATATCTTTGTTGTTGTCTTGCAAAACCTCCAGAACATCCTCTAGCCCAGTATGGCCCGCCGTGGCGTTCCGCATCAAAGCCCGGACCCCCGTGCGATTGAGTTTGGTGAATAGATCCATCATGGTTTTGGAGTCTCCTTCCGCGGGGGTATTCAAGTGAACGAGCGAAAAATTCTTTCTCATGGATTGGGCCAATGCTTTCATGCCACCACTCAAGGATGCTTTCCCTCTGGCATCTCGCTGCGGATTATTGCTAGTTGGAATGGATAGATCAAGCTTTTGCAACTTCTGATTGATTTCCAGCGCCTGAGCCATGGCTTGGCAGCTTTCCATGTCGAGTCCCTTGTAGCATAAATCCAAACGTTCCAGCGTTCTGTTGACTTTTATCATTTCGGCAATGTCCAAAATGCCCTTTTTGGTTGCTCTGGAAGGTGCATTGTTATTTCCATTTGAGTTGTTGGGTGACGAAGAGCTAGTAGTTCCACGAATTTGAAGGTCAGTCAGGGAACATCCTGGTGTTAAGAGAGCCTCAGATAGCACTTGACATCCATTATCATCCATACCCCTCAGTGTCAATTTCTGTAATGCTACCATTTTCGGAGAACCCAAAATAGTCTTGAGTACAGAACTCGAGCGCCATGCCTGTCTTGTTGGAAGGGCCAACCAGACATCCTGCAAATGTGACAACTGACTCAATGTCTCCAACAGTAGAGCCAAGTCTTCCTCCGCCAAACTGCCCAAGAAGCCCGCATGACAAGAAACTTTGCGTAAAGTATTGTTCCGAAGCAGGGCCTGAGTCAGTTCGGGGAGGGGGGTACCAATCTCATTGTTGGTTAGACTCAACCAAGTCAGCGTCTCGTCATTCTTCAACAGTCGCTCGGATAATAGTTTGATGGACATTGTGCCTCTTCTTTTTCCCTTTAGCTAGGTGGAATTTGTTTTCCTGTTGCCTCCCACCACTAAACACTATTCAGGACTTCTTGGTCACTGCACCGGTGCTGCCAGACGAAGAATAGTACTTTCTCTTTCTCAGTGAGTTATCTTTCAGGACGAGGCAACAACAACAACAACCAAAAGTGTCCCTCACAGCGGTGCTTTGACAGAATAATGACAGGTTGGTTATTCTCTTCTGCTCGTATGTCCATCATCGGTGCGTACCGTTGGGATGTGGGTTGTTCCGGCTTCGGATCGCGTCGCTGAATCATTCAATCCGATTGGATCAGAACTCGATCGAGCTTCTCCGCGATAAGAGCCTGCAGAGCGTGGAAAGGAATAAGGATGCCCAAAAGTCATACGATTTTAGCAAAGAGTGACTGGATTTTAAAGTAAATTTTACTGAAACAGTTGCTCTTGGGGGAGCTCCAAAAGGAGCAAGGACATGATGATGTACGTACCGGTATGTACCGTATGTTATGAAACAGATGAAATCTGAAGAGTTGTTGTCTGCTGGGAGATATGACCAGAGCTGCAATGGTCCACAAAGCATGGCCTAGCTAGGTGCCCTAACTAAGACAACAGCCACGGTTCAGGAGATGCGGATCGAGGAGTGCACCTACCGTACCGGTACCGGTATGCTTTGTTTCCCTCATGCATGTTACTACTATCCTGATTGACTGAAGCGCTCGCTTGTATTTGTAGCTTCAAATACGCAACTCCTTTCCTCAAAGGCACAACTTCCAGGGACTGCAAAAATCAAACACTTGTACAACCAGCCAAGTACTTCCAAATGATGTCCAATCTCGAAGTCAAGGCTCAAAATTTGCATGGGTGAATTCTGGGAAGTCAAGTACTAGTATCATGTCCCAAAGATTGTGCGGTACTAGTATCCTCAGCTGTGGTGCATCCACATCCCAGCACTGAAGCCTGTGCCGAGTTTTGTCTTCTAATCCTTTTATGGGTGCGTTACTTACAACTTCTCTTGCTCATGCTCATAGGCAACGGCTTGCCACTGTCAGTGCCACCAAAACCTGATGTTCCTGCTTCCAACTGCTGATGATTCGATTCGGCTTTCTGCTTGTAGCTAGCTAGCTAGCTAGTTATTGCGGCCACTGAATCTTGCCTTCGTCGATTCCCAGACAGCCAGCATTTAAAGCCCAAGCAAAGTCCCCTTTGCACACTGATCCCTATCCTGAGTTTTGCCTTCTCTTCTCTTGAGCTTGGTCCACTGCCGGCTTCGGTGGTACTAGCTAGTACGCTGCCGTAGCAAACCAACACACTTTGCGTACCCGGCCCCCTTCGAGTTGCCTCAAACGCTTGTTCCCACCGGCAATGGTGGTGTTAGCCAAGGTTATACAAGCTGATAGGGTTAAGTCATTCGTGTGTATAGTTGTCTTTGATGAATTCCAAATTCCCTATTCTACGGTCGCGATCCAACAGGTTCAACGTCTGTGCGCAACACAATTGGATTCGATTCCCAACCAAGCACCCTTCTGCGTGGTATCTTTGCACCTTGCAGCGGGTTGAGGGGACGAAAGAGGGGTGGCCGATACGGCAAGGTAGCCAACGTCAGGCTGCCTGATGGAAGCACCATCTCCTCTCCTTTGGCGTTCACATCTCTCAAGGAATATATTCTCTTTTGAATTTCAATATCCACCATGAAGACTTGCATCGTTCTTTCCAGCCTTTTGGCCTCGGCCGCCGCCTTTGCCCCTGCGCAAAAGGTAAGACTATTGCAGAAGATAGATAGATGAGGATTAGTTTTCAGTAGTGTTGGCGACCATGTACTTACCCGTGTATTTGTGTTGTAACTCGGTTCCGTATCGCAGCCTGCTGCTTTGACCACAGCCCTCAATGCTGAGATGTCTGAGTCTCTTCCATTCCTTACCAAGCCCAAGAACTTGGAAGGATACATTGGAGATGTCGGTTTCGATCCCCTTGGCTTCAGCGAAATGTTCGACATGAAGTGGTTGCGAGAATCCGAGCTCAAGCACGGACGAGTAACCATGCTTGCCACCCTTGGATACGTTGTGCAACAATTCTACACGCTCCCAGGATTCGAGCACGTCGATGACTCCAACTTGGCCCCCGATGTGGTTGGTGCTGCTCCCATGTACCAAATCATCTTTGGTGTTGGAATTGCTGAATTCTGGTCCAACAGTGGAAATGTGACCATGGAAAACATGTTCTCTGATCCCAAGCGAGTTCCAGGAAACCTTGGATATGATCCCCTCAGCTGGTGCGCTGGAAAGTCAGAGGAAGAAGTGAAGAAGCTTGAATTGCAAGAACTCAAGAATGGACGTCTCGCTATGTTGGCTATCGGTGGTATGATCCACCACAACTGGATCACTGGAGAACCTCTTATCCCCATCTAAGCCGTGTACTCTGGTACTAGCTAGTTTCTCTTTCTGCTCGCTGGCTTCTGCTTACAGAGGGTTCCAATCTTGACAGCCTACTCACATCATGCTACATATAACTTGCCCATAGAGAAAGTCTATGATGTGAGTAGATAAGTTAGTTGGAGCAGTACTTTTGGTGATTTAGATTAAGATAGATAGTCAGTGATTGTAGTGTGGGGACAGTTCCTGTTTTCCGCATAGTCTTGGGTGATTTGACTGGGGAGGGAAACGTTTGCCTTGGCATTCACCAATCGCATATTTGCGGGAAAGGAGAGATCTAGTCTGAGAAAACTTGCTGCATGTCGGTGCTTTCTTGGCCTACCTCTGTACTTCCTGTGACCGAGGCATTGGCCGTCTGCTTTGGAAACTTTCCTAACCAAGAGAATACGGTGCCTTGGATTTTCGATATCCAGATAGTGCACGAATGCTGTCTGTGAGTGAAGCTTGTGGGACAAGAGGAGGCGTGTGACGATCTCGTCACTAATCCGGTGCTACTGGTTTGCGTTGGACTGAAGTTCTTGCTCGCCAGCTTGTTGGCTGCATCCTTTGGGTACTAGTGGCACGGGCAAGGATCAAGGGCGTGCACTGTGGAGCATGCTCATGCGATAGTATTGCTTTTCTAGAAGTAGAAGTACAATAAGATACGATCAGGAAGCTAAGCAACGATTAAAAGAAAACAAAAAGTCAGGAAATGCTAAGAAAAGAATCGAATCGAATCTACGAGCACTGGAGCTTTCGTCTTTCTGCAGCCCAAAGAGGATGGATTCGAGAAAGACCTGCACTGTTGTATATTGCAATCAATCATTTCGTCGTCCTTCTCTCGTAAATTCCTTCCACTGCCTACGGTACATGTCGTTTGCAACCTGTCCCTCGTCCTTTGTTGATCGCAGCAATGTAGTGCCAGTACGGGACCGGTGTGTTGTTGTGTCGAGATCAGCCAAGTCAAAGTCAAATTTTCCATCCAGAACCTCACATGCGATGCGATGTTGTAAGGATGTTGTAAGAAAGAAAACTGCCTCTTCAGCAATCGTTTTCACAGGCATTCCTTGGGTCTAACCAATTGCTGGGTTGCCATTTCAAGATGGCGAATGCCTACAATTCTTCCATTCGTATCAAGTTTTGTCGCTCTGTAACGGATAGAAGCTGGTAGACTCCCACACTAGGATTCATACCCTCACCCAAGCCCCCGGTGGAGGATGTTTCATCAATTCCACTTGTGGCAGACAGCACACCCATTACAAAACCAACCACATGGAAATGCCAATGATCAGGCCACTAAATGAAAAAGAAAAATAGAAAAATGAGAAACATCCAGAAGCGGCAAGGTCCCAATTACAGACAAGCAAACAAGCAAACAATAAACTAACTCACATCCCCAGAGCGACCAAAAAATCCTTCAAATGGAGCACTTCTCGGTCCAAAAAGTTCCCAGCCGTCCCTGCCGTGTTGGACGTAGTACTGCCGCCACCCTTGCGGTTGCGCGCGTTTTTGGAGTTGCCCTGTTTGGACGCTGCAATCTGCGCATTCAGAGCTTCGACATCATGACCAATCGTAATGGAACTGTCCTTGTCGGAAATATCAAACACAAACGAGTCGCCTAACACAAATAACAAACATAGAAACATGTAAGGGAGGGCAGGATGACGGGTTCGAGTTCTAGCTAGCTAGTATTCACCTACGGTACATACCTGGCTTCAAGCCCTTGGGAACTCTCAGTTCGGCTTCGCGGCCTACGCTCCCTTTCCCGTCAGGGGGACAGTGGACCTTGATGTATTGGCCAGATCTGACATGCTCTGGGATAACCACACGGAACTGCATGGTGCTCTCCTACCGGTACCTCCAGACACAGACGTTGCTTCGTTGCTTTTATGAGCAAGGCACCGGCAATCGTCTTTGTGGGGGCAGAGCAAGATCTGTCGGTGTTTCTACTTGCAGCTGAGCCGCTTTGGGGTTTAAGTCGCGTTAATGACGTCAGAACAACAACGGCTGGAAGAGCAGATTTTCCCGAGGCTCACAATTTTGCAAAATTTGGGCAAAGTCGTTGTGAAAGGACCGTCACAATCTCAAAGCTAACAGCGTACCCCCCACACACTACACTTCTACAGTAATAGCTAGCTAGCTGGGTAATAGATATCTGGGAAGTCAAGAAGGAGAGAGAACTAAACCATCTTATTCTTCCATCAAAGATGCCCAAGTCGATCCGACGTTCCAAAAGAGGCCTCGGGGGCTCCAATGCTTCCGATGCGCGAAGTACATGGCGGAGGGTATCTCTGATTCTCCTTGGATTATCTCTGATTGCCTACAGATCCACCAAAAATCCGTTCGATTCGTCATGGGGTACTCGTCTGATGTCCTCCACCAGTCTCTTGCTCACGGATCTCATCTACGAGCCCTCGCCTCCTCCACAATTCAGCCAAGCCAACATTGCCCGTCCCATCTGCACCGAACCAACGGGAGGACAGTGCCGCGTATCCAATGGTCCCATTCCACTATCCTCCTTGACAAACAATGGCACCAACGACTACTATACATGCGATGGTAGATGCTCCAATCATGCTACCTGCTTCTTTGGCACCTGCATGTGTCATCCGGGATACGAAGGTCCCACTTGTGAAGACAAAATGCTCATTGCCAATCCCTGGTATACCGCCGATTGTCCCAATCTGCGTGATGAGGTCAACACGTTGAATGTCAATGCCACCAATCTCGGTGGGGTGGAGTTTTGCCACGAAGGACTGGCAGAACACGCCTCGTTGGGAACAGGCTTGAGCTACTGTGCCTATCTGTGCTACTCCAATGTGGCCTATGGGTCGGCCATTGTCCCACACGCGCTATGGAAAAAGGCACAAGAAGCCGAAAACAATCTATGGGCCAAGATTTCCCGCGGAAACAATGATCGGTACAACGATCACTTTCAAGGATTTGCTCAGTACAAGTGCGTGCCACGAGATCTCGGTCACGTCGTCGAGTTTGGTGCCGGACCGTGGACGCAGATCCGCGGATTGTTGAGTCTTCGACCAGATGTCAAGGTCAAGAGCTACACAGTGTTGGAGCCGGGAGCGGACTTTTACATTGAAAGTGTTGCCAGCTGCACGTACAAAACTGGAAAACTTTCCAAGCATCCTGATACTTCCAATTTCCATGATTTCCCAGTCTTTGTCAAGTCTAGTCTGGGAGGTGAGTTTGCTGCTATTGTATCACTGTGCTTTTCTTTCTTGTTGTAGTTGATCCATTCCTGTCTCATGTATGTATTGTGCCGAAACCAACCAACCAAACCAAACACAAAGAAACGGCCATGACGACGAACCTTCAGTTTGACACTGTCATGGTCTCCAATGTCATTGAACACGTCCAAAACGCGGTAGATTTCTTGCACGGAATTCACAAAAGTTTGAAACCTGGTGGTCTCCTCATCTTTCATGATCGGTACTATTCGTATCCCGAGGCAGCCGACAAGGTCTTGGGGAGGAATGTATTCCATCCCATTCGATTGACCCAACGATTCTTTGATCTTTTCTTGGCTGACTTTGACATCATCTTTAACAATTGTGAAGGTGAAAAGACTATCCACGGATGGAAGCGACGAAATGGTGGCGAACGAGGCTACTACGTCGTTGCTCGCAAAAAGGTACCAGCTACCACCGGCGTCGCCGCAAACTAGCTTTGGGTGAACCCTATAGCGACTGGTCTTGTGAGGGGTTAGGGTAACGCGAGATGCCAAGCAGAGCTTGCCTCCGCCCACAGCGGATGGTTGACGGTGATGCTGCTTGCGGGTGGCGGTGCAAACAATCTCAGATAGCCAATAGAAAGGGGCACGCGCACTAAAAAGGAACCGCCTTCGTTTCGTTAGTCTACATCTTTTGATTGATAGAATCCCATTGCGGTTGTAAACCCTATTATTCCGGTACACCAGCTCAGGCAAACATTCAAGTCTTGCGCTTACTTGATTGCGAACCAAGGGCAACGTTAGTAGATGCCTGGTAGTTTGGCCCTCACTCTGTAGACAATCTGATCGAGGCAGAGCAATTTTTCAACCGCACAGTGATCATAGACTCCTGTTTCCTCCAATAGGCGGTACCTTTGACGCGGGCAGCGACGCCTCACATAGTCACTGACAGCCACAGAAGGTTGCCATCACCTGCTGGGATAGATACGACATGCCAGAGATCGAGGTTCCCTCTTCTTGCGGAAGATCAATGATTTGCGCTTTAGAAATCGCCATTGCCAAGCAAGTTGCTCAGCAACAGCATTTGTCATTTCTCCACCACCATCTACCAGTACTTTCTCTCCTTCCATCCAGTTGAATGTTGCCCAGCGGCAGCCAAATGAAGGAGACGAAGGAGATGGAATGATGGTTACGGTTTGATTGGCGAGACACACAGCTCCCCGAACGAAATGAACGAAATGAACGAACTCAACAGCTCAACAGCTTCCAACAAAGCGCACAGCTGGCACGCTGCACCACGCAAAACTACAGCAGCTGCTGCCGCGGTACAGCTTGCTGGCCAGCCGAGCCGCCATCATCTTTGCAGGTGAGTTGACGAACTTGATGTGACTTGGTACCGTGTTTGGAAATTGTTAGAATGTACCAGCAATCAGGCTGTAGCTGAGCATGATTGCGCTACACAGAGAGGCAGAAGTAGGCAAAGCAATGTACCAGGTACCGGTACCAGAGCAAAAATTGGAAGATGCTTTCCCTTCTTTAGCTAAGCGGGTTCCCAGCGAATACAAAGGCTAGCAAGAGTTCGGTGTTTGGTGTTTTGCCTTGGCGCGTTTTGCTGCGGCTGTGTGGCTCTTGCATGGTTGACTATCCGGAGTGCTCCCGGTTCGCAGGAGCTGAGTGCTTTGTAGGTACCGGTACCTGCAGCTATGCCGGAGTCCATCGCGCTCACAGCCAGCGAAAATCTTCGGTCATTCTGCTTGGCTCCATGGCCAACTACATGTGTACCGTACGTTGAGGCCGGTCTTCGTATCTCTCTCCAACCATACGTTTGCCAAGCCCAGCACACCACACAAGAGAAAAATGCGTCTCACAAAAAGTAAGTTAGAACACAAAAAAAAGAAGATTTAGTTTCATTATCTACAAAAGGCTCCCCAAAACCAAAACAGAAGCAAGAACAAACATGAAGCTTGCAGCTCTTTTGGTGGCAACACTGTTGCCATCAACTATTGTCTTTGCATCTCATCATTCTTCCTCAGAGGTGGAACCCAACAGTAACTTGCGGAAAGTAGGAACTGCTACTGCTGCAACTACAACAGACACTCCATGCATCCAACACGTTGCTGATTTAGTTGCTGGCCTTCAAAATGAGATTAAGCTGTTGAGTACCCACAATAGTCACATGCAGACTCAAATTGACACTTTGAGCAGTCTAGTCAAATTCAATACTGCTGGGTTCAATGAAAAAATTGATATAGTGGAAGCAAAAATGGAGCAACTCCAGGATTCTGCCAGTGGCAACATCAACCTCCAAGGACACCGTCATCTGGCAGAAACCTTGCAGGATGTCATCACAAAGACAGCATGCATCAGTGAGGCTAGTGATGGCACCAAGTTCTGGTTGGACAACAACTGCGTTACAAACTTCTATGTGTACCCATGCTTTCCGGACAGAGACACCCTTGATGCTGCATTGGAAGACATTGAGACTGCTGAGGTGACCTACGGGCCAATCTACAGCTGGTGCTTTGAAGAGATGTCAATGAGTGGCCTGTTGTACTCAAGTTTCAATGATGACATTGGTGGCTGGAATGTAAGCCAAGTGACTGACATGTATCAGATGTTTTACAATGCTGAAGTCTTCAATGGTGACATTTCCAGTTGGGATGTTGGCAAAGTTACAACTTTCGAGCAAATGTTTCATGATGCCAATCTTTTCAACCATTCCCTAGCAGATTGGAATGTAAGCCAAGTGACAAGCATGAAGTCCATGTTTCGTAGCGCTCTTTATTACAACCATGACCTCTCTAGTTGGGATACTAGCAAGGTGGAAGACATGTCTTGGATGTTTTATAATGCTTGGGTCTTCAATGGTGACATTTCCAATTGGGATGTTAGCAGAGTTACAACTATGGAAGCCATGTTCTTAAAAGCCCAAGTCTTTAACCGAGACTTGTCTGGGTGGGATGTCAGCAAGGTGACAACTCTTTATCGCATGTTCTTGGTCGCTGAAGAGTTCAACCAAGACATTTCCATGTGGAATGTTAGCCAAGTCCAAAAGACCGATGCTGTGTTTGCTTATGCTGCATTATTCAACCAAGACATCTCTAATTGGGATGTTAGCCAAGTAACGGACATGAGTCACATGTTTTATTGGTCACAGGCATTCGCTGGAGATGTATCCAGCTGGGATGTCGCAAAAGTTACAGACATGAACTCGATGTTCGCCGGGGCAAATTTCAACATTGACCTTTCCAATTGGGATGTCAGTCTGGTTACAAGCATGAAGAAAATGTTTGAAGACACCTCTTTCAACCAAGATCTTTCCAGCTGGAACATGACCAGTGTTGTCAACACACATAAGATGTTCGACGGGGCATTGTCTTTTCAGCAAGACTTGTGCGAATGGCAAACAAAGCTGTCTACAGAGGCATCTGTTTCGGGCATGTTTTCTGGAACAAATTGCACTTTTGATGAAAATGGTGGTACTCCCCAATTGTTGAATGATTATTGGGCTGATCTCTGTTCTCAATGTGTTATTCCTTCGGATTCACCTTCTGCACTGCCATCAAGCAGCCCAAGCAAGAGCAGCAGCCCAAGTATGCATCCCTCTACAACCACCAATCCATCAAGTATCCCATCCAGCCAACCCAGTATTTCCCCTAGTAGCATACCATCAAGTTGGCCAACCAAGCAACCCAGCAAACTTCCCACCCAGAGTCCCAGTATGAATCCAACCACAGAACCATCAAGCAACCCAAGCTCACCTCCATCAACAAGTGGCAGTCCCAGCAGTTCTCCTTCAAGATTCTGTTTTGATTCCCGTACAACGCTTCTGGAAAAACTGGATAACATTGCAGAGGCCGAGCTAGAGTATGGTCCAATCTACAACTGGTGCTTCCATGAAATGTCCTTTGAGCAGCTTTTTAGCACTCAACGATATGACAATGCTAGTGCCTTCAACTACGATATTGGTGGATGGGATGTTAGTCAAGTTGTGAGTTTTCAGAATATGTTTTACGGTGCCTCAAGCTTTGACCAGGACATTTCAGGATGGGCCACCAGCAAGGTGGCAAGTCTTGCCAACATGTTCTATGGAGCTAGTTCTTTCAATAAAGCATTATCTGACTGGGATGCGAGTAAGGTGCAAGGGATGGGAAACATGTTCCGTGGAGCCACTGCCTTTGACCAGGACATTTCCAGCTGGGATACAAGTAATGTTGTTTCTATGCTCAACATGTTCAATGGAGCCAGCTCTTTCAACCAAGATGTGTCAAGTTGGGATGTGACCAGTGTCACCGATGTCAAAGGCATGTTCAACCGTGCACACACGTTCAATCAAAACTTGTGTGCATGGAAGTCAGACTTATCTGTGGATGCACTTAGTTGGGGTGTCTTCCTTTATACTGATTGTCCTGAGGCTGTCACTCCATCCAATGATGGCACTATTTGGACTGATCTTTGCTATGCATGTTAGACAAGCAAGTCCACACCACAATCTCTCCATTTATTACACCCACAATAACAGAAGAAAGCACCAAGCAGATTCATTCAACTCCATATCACACAGCAACACTGGAAACCTCCCATTGAGGGCCCAAACAACAACACAAAAAACACGAACAGAGAAACAGACACAGCACCCACAAATGCATACCAGTAGTAGCCAACTTTGCTTGCAAGGAAAGGAGTTATCCATTGCCTTGCTGTTGAGCCTTTGATGGGCCAAAAAGCAGAAGAAAAGTATACTAAAATAGTGAACTCTGAAGAAAAAGACACGAAACAACTGAACCTATGCTCCGCATCCTCTACTCCTTGCACTTTTGTTGGTAGTGTGACTCAATCTCATAGTGCTGCTTGGTAACAGTTTCTGTTTAGAGGGGTGAGTTGCAATGGCTCTCCTTTGATGTCTTTGGCATGCATACAATCACGACAAGATGATCTGCCGCCTTGCCCTGAGCTTTGTTGGAAAAGCAGACTAGTAGAAACCAGGAAAGGGAAGGATGGAAGAACGTTGCAGACTTTGAATCTTCAATCAATCTGCAAGGTCACGAAATGGGACTGTTTCCGTGAAACTGATGCTAGTTTCACGGAAATGGAGCGATTTCCGTGAAACTAACACAAAAACCGTGAAACTAACTCAAAACCGTGAAACTAATTAGTTTCACCGAAATTCCGTGAAACTAACCAAAAACCGTGAAACTAACATTTCCGTGAAACTAACATTCCGTGAAACTAATGCTTTGAATCCCGTTTCCGGACCTTGCCAGCTGCCAGCAGACGTCCCCACGTCCCCACATACAATTGAGGCAAAGAGGCGTGGGGTTCGTTCCTGCACTTTCGGATCCACGGTACGCTTCCACGGTTCAGTCTTCTTGGCGACAGTTGACAAAGTGACAAAGTGGCTGCTGTTATTGTTCTTGACTGTCACTCTTCGTTTTTGGATGTTGACAACTAGTTGAAGATTGTATCACCAAAGCCAAACCTAATCGTAAATTGATCCTCGTCTTGTTGTTGTTGCGGAAACGATGGCGACCTCCGACGCTCATCTGGAATGGATTACAAGTGCTGCTTTGGTGGAGTTGTTGGAAGCTTCTCATGGTGTCTTTGGAGAATTGATCGAGCCTTCCCTTGTGCTGCAAGGCCTGGCGCTGTCCGATAATGTGGGTCGTCTGGATGATCCTCACTCTGCCTTGGCCACTCAAGCGATGCATTCCTTCTCGATATCCAGTAGTGGAGACAATCCCGAAATCAAAGTGGAATTCGACAATACCACGCCGCATGCCGTGTCGCTGCGATGGATGGACGAAGAAGGACGGGCATTTGTCAATGGCACGGTAGAGCCATTTTCTTCCATGGTTCGATATTCACGCTGTGGACATTTATTTCTCGTGTCCGCTGTGATAGGACCGCAGAATGAACAGTTGCTAGGAGGCTATCGCGTGCGCATGCCCTGTCCTAGTGGATCTCCTCATCAGTTGTTAATAGAAGAAGAACAAGACGCTGCCGGTTCTACTAGTCCCATGTTCCGCCTAGAGTCTCTGATAGCGGATCCAACCGGACACGACGAATTGGTCATTGCAGCGGCAGCATTGGATTCTGTAGGAGCAGGACCACAACATGCAGCTTGTTCCAAAACTGTCAAAACACTCCACACCATTTTTCGCAATCTACTCGCCCATCCCGATGACCCCAAATATCAATCTCTGAGAATATCCAATCCCAAGGTCCAAACCACCCTGTTGCAAAATGGAGCTGCCCGACAAATGTTGTATTGCACAGGATTTCGTGAAAATGTCAAGGACGATCATTGGATCTGGAAGTCCAATGCCAATCTGCATGCCATTCCAGCACGCCTGGAACAGGCTTCCAAACTTTTGCAATTTCTTTTAGAACGCTCTCAACCTGGGTTTGTGGCAGAACTGGCGGCTACGCCGGTTTGGCAAGGACCCATTCTCAATTCCTCCTTGACCAATGCCAATACACGGGGATTTGGAGCTGCTGGGTCGACTCATTTCCTCAGTGATGATGAAAAATGGAAACGGGCCGAACGGAATCGACAACGACGGGGACGAGGTGGACGGAAACCCACACCGGGTAGTGCACCGAGTAGTAATGGACGCTGGGGGCGGTAGAAGCGTACTGTAGTATCAAGCAGCAATATACGTTCATGGTGTGTGCAGAAGACGAACAGGCACATCGACGGTGGGCAGCAGCCAAGATTGAACCGTACTGGGTATTGATGTTATTCGGTCTACCCGTGGATGGGCTTGGTACATTGCTAGTTTGAACACAGACAACACCACCATTACGACAACGCTGCAATTGGGGGATTGGCGGCACCCTACGTTTTGTTTCGACGTAACAACGGCTCTATAATCTATGTCGTTTATCGTCGTACCTAGCTGGTTGACTCATCAACTTTTACAAAACTGGCACCATTCTTTTTCACCACCTCGTCGATGCAATCAAACGCTTCTTCGAGTTCTTCCGCCGCGAGATCCTGAAGAATGAGAAGGATAGTGGAGGTTGCAAAATTGGAATAGCTGCCGCCACTGCCAGCCCCGTCACGCTGACCAAGAATCTTTTGCAGCACCTTGCCCACGTCTCTTCGACCCGCTCGATCCAAGTGCGTTAGGGGCTCGTCCAAAACTATGAGCGAGGGTCGCAGCCGGCCTCGAGTTGCCACCAAATCGGCAAACCCAAGTGTCAACGCAAGAGAGCATCGACGCCATTGCCCCCCAGAAAGTGTGGCCAGAGGTCGCTCACGAAACGATCCATCGGGTTCGCGAACCAAAGCACGACGGGAGATTTTGTCTCCGGCGTCCAGGGACATTTGAAGTCTTTGTGCACCGTCACTAAAGTCGTCCAGGTATTTCTGTGACAAGCACTGAAGGTCACGAACTGCGTTTTGCAGCACAAACGTTTGAATTCCACGGGTTCCAAAGGCATCCGAGAGGCCTGCGCATTGCTTTGTCAAGCGTCGTTGTTCTTTTGCTTGAGCTCCCAGATCCTCAACGGCGGCCTTCAGAGTCTCGAGCTCACCCGATAGGTTGCCATGGGCTTCTTTCGCAAACTCGACCGCTTGGCGTGCAGTGTTCAATTGTGCTTCCAGCTTTGATTGTGCGAGAGCGGCTTCTTGTTGACGCTCGGCTTGAGCTGTGTACGATTGCGTCAGATGGGCAACCTGTTCTCGTGAACTTCTCAACGCTTCTTCCGCATCATATACGAGTTTATCCCAGTAGGTTGCTTGTTCATCCCGTTGTTCATGTACAATCTGGACTTCCGCCTGAAGTTTCTGTCGGCCGAGTTCTGCATCCTCCACAGCTTCTCGCGCTCCAAGAAGCTTTGTTTGGGCAGTCGCCAAAGAATGCAGTGTGGCCTGGATTTCATCCTCAGCTTTTTCTTGCAGGCTCTCATGAGCATGTTCGTGGCCATTATTTGTCACTGGTTGTTGACATGTTGGGCATATTTCAGGAATATTGAATGCGCTCGGAAGCTCCCCCACGGATAAATCCACCTGCCATGTCTTCTCTAGTTTGTCAATGGCGCCCTTGAGAGTTTCCACTTCATAGTTGGCAGATTGGTGTTCTAGTTGTGCTTTCTGGAGTTGTTCAGCTGCAGTTTGCGCGGATTGCATCTGAATGCGAAGACTCCCATCAATATCTTTCAGCACCGATGCTCTCCCCTCTTTGAGGTGGCTCACATGGTTCTGGTGCGTTTCCACCGACGAATTTGCTTCTTCGAGGCTTCCCCGCAGTGAATCTAAAGATTTCCCTTTTGTCGCCTCATCTCCCCCGTCGTCATCTTGCTGTTTGGCTGAAAAGCTTTCGGCTTCAGCTTCCCTGGCACACAAGATCTCTTCCTTGTCTTTCAAGTCTGCATCAGCCCTATTGTATCTGTTTTGTAGCTTTTCCATGTCGTCGGTCCTTAGTGCTAGCATCCCCTGCAATTCGTTTTCTTTCTTCGTTGCAGTTCGGCCCTTGGACCGAGCCAAAGTTCCGGCTCCCTGCCAAAGCTCCAATGGTACAATCAGCGAGAGTTCTTCCTTTAACTTTGCGTCAGTGGCTTCCAGCAATTCATTCAATGCGTGCTGGCCATGAAACATGGTTCGAGCTAGGATGGGTGCACTGACACCTAGCTTTTCCTCGATGACTGCCATTGTCTCTTTCGCTGATTGAGTTGTAAGATCCTGCCCGTCCAGAAAGAATGCTAGTCCAGTCTTCTTTGGTGTTTTTGTCCTCGTAATCACAAACGGCTTTCCATTCAGATGGCCGGTCACCGATACACGGGCATTCTATACATGTTCAGTAGAGGCAAAGAGACAAATGAGGCATCCGCCCGACCAAACTTAGTTAGTTCTGTATCAAGGTGTGAGGACTCACCTGGTTAGAATCATTCAATATATCCACCACCTTGCTGTCTTGGAAAGGTCTAGGATCTGCAGAACCCGTCATAGCCCACAAGGCTGCCATGGCCAACGTTGTTTTGCCACTCCCATTGCTATGTTCCATTAGTGGTTTGGAGGTAGGTAGAAAGAGACAAGGTTAAGATTGTTCAAGATCCAGTGCAAAGAGACAAAAGCAAAGAGGAGGTCAATCGAGCAACATGGATGTCGTACCTGTCCGATCCTCCATCCAAGTTGGTGCCCTTCAAGAGGACAAGACCCCTATCATTCAAGGGATAATCCACCCGAGTTGGAAACGGTCCGTAACCTTCTACTGCCACAGAGTCTAGTTGTAGATTGGTTTTTGTTGCCAACAAAGACCCTTCAGTACTTTTTGTTGACGACGATGTTGCACCGTCAGACTCTTCCATCTCCTCCAGAAGTCGCAGTCCGGCCTCTTGCAATGCCATGGCTTCTTCTTCGTCGTAATCAGCTCCTTGTTGGACCTCCCAAAACCTTGCCCAGGTGGAGAGGGGTGACAAATCCTCCAGAGAGGTGGCACCTGCAGTTTCCGCAACCGATGCAGGATCTCCTTCCTGTGCCTCGGCGGTTGTCGTCGCCTCTCGTATTTCCACGGCCACACCTGCTTGTCGGAGTGCTCGAGTATGATCCTGGAAAAGAGTGTTTTCATCCAAATCCCGCACTTCTCTGCGTGGCAATGTCAACACAATGCGATCACCCTCTTTGACAGTCTTTTTAGTTGCTGTTTTCACGTTGTTCTCCATTGTTGGTACATGTAGTTCCAGTAACTCATCCACCGACTGTGGCTTGAAATGCTTCCTCCCAATATCATTCATGGGTATCCGTTCAATACACTTCCACCCTTGTGTGGCATCCAAGACCACCAGTGCTTTCTCTTGATGAGCTTCTGCCAGTGACGTTTCATAGGGCGATCCGAGATATTCAATGCATACCTCTTGCGTGTCGGCAGTCTTTTTATTCTTGTTGTGTATGACGGTGTGAGGTTTGTGAAAGTGTCCCGAATAAATGGGTCGATTGCTGGGAAACACGGATGGATGGACTCCCCCCGTGGAAACAATCATGTCATTCATGTAGGCTCCCGTGACATCGGCATGCACAAACAGTGCTTGACACGACTGCGCCATGTCAGATTGCAGCACCGATTCCATAATGGCCAAATCTCGAATGTGTGGTACAAAGAGCGCATTTCCTAGTTTGGTGGGATGCGAAAACACCAGGGGACCGGGAATGGTTGTGCCGCTGCTGCTGTCATCATGATCGACTACTACTCGATACGACTGTTCCAGCGGTGTCAATCCATGCGAATGTCCTCCCAGTGTAACTTGATCGTGATTCCCCGGAATCAGAATCATGGGTACGGTCCATTGTCGAAAGGCGTGCAAGACGGCATTGAGACAATCGACCCGCAGCGTTCCTCGATGATGCCAGAAATCTCCGAGAAAGAGTACCCCCGCGTGTCGCTGTTGTGCCAATTCGTGAACACGATGGATGACTGCCAATGACGTTTCGAGGGTGGAGGGGGCCACGTGGAGATCGGTAAAGACGACCCATTTGGCAATGGAAGCGTGATGGGCCAGTTGTTGCAAAAATGGGTCCTCCTTTGCCTTGATCTTGTCGGATGCTTGTAGCAGGGCATCCAAGTCATCCATGCGAGGTGGTGGTGGTGGTGGATTGTTGTTGGTGGTGCTGGAATTGTCAATGTCGGCTGTCATTTTTGAAGCTGTGGTGGCGGTGGATGAATCATCCGATGATGCTATAGTAACTGTCATCGCTGGAATGGCCTGTACTGGTTCTTCTAGCGGTAGCTGTTGAAGCAGCAACTCTTTTTCTGTAGTAGTATCAGATTCTAGTTTTGTACTTGTTGCTGTTGTTGCTGTTGTCAGTTGTGATTTTCGAACCTTGACTTGTTGATTCTGCTCTCCACCATCAGCAGAAGATAGTTTCAGTGTGTACCATCCACCCTTTCGAATATCTTGAATGACGCCTTGGACCAGGTTGGATCCATCTTTGTGGACATCCACCAGGACGGTATCTCCAATGGTCCAATTATTATTATTATTATCAGACGATGATGATTTTGACGAAAAAGACAGCCACAAACGTGTATTATGGAATGGTGGTGGGTAGAGGAATGATGGGTATCCAAACAATGATGGCTTTCTAGTTTCCCAGTGATGTTGTGGACGCATGGTATTTGCTATCCGTCGTGGGAGATGACCTGATCTTGCCAAGAAGGCTTTGGCAGTTTTATTACATGTAGTAGCTGCCATTATGGTGAGAAATAATGCCAATGAAATGTTGAGGGCACAATGAGATCTTCTTTTCTTCGACGACAATTGTGATGCCCCCAGCAATCTTCTTCTTTTCTCTACTTCTGATGATGATGATGATGATAGTCGAGTCATTGCCAGAATTTGTTAAACTCTCTCTTCTCTGCAGTGCAAAGCCAACAAAATCTATCTCTTTCCTTTTGTTTGTTTTACTTTCTTGTGGCGTTGATTGTGTCGACCAACCGAAGCCAAAAGCCGAGGGCGAAATTGGATCTTTGGATCTTTTGCGCTTTTTGTGTTGTGAGAATTTCCAAAACATGTTTTAAAAAAGGGTCTCAATTTGGTGATTTTGCAAGTGTCAGCTTCTTCATTTGCACAAAAGCCCCTTCCCCCGAGCCACCGTTTCCTTATACTAGTAGGGGGTGTTAGAGTAGGGAAATTATCTACGGAAGCCAGCCGGGGCCAGGCTTAAGCAAAGAACAGGCGAAATTCAGGACTAGGTTCTGTGGGATCAGGGGCAAGAAATTGAGGACCATTACGGGGGGCAAAGGGTTTGGCTTTGCGGGATCCACGGAGACATACCTGACACTTTTATTCGTTCAGCAAAAGACCGCACTGTCAACCTAAAAACAACACATCAACAACTTGCTACAACGAAACAACCGCAATGCATACAAGAAACATGAACAACAACAACACGGACAAGGAAGTCCCCCTTGGCAAAGTCCTCTCCATCTTTCTGACGGATGATGGACTCAAGGACGTGACGTTGATCACCAGTGATGGCGAACTTGTGCGGGCCAACCACTATGTCTTGTCGGCTCGATCGGTGGTCTTTCGTCGCCTATTGAGAGGCAATTATTTCTCGGAAGCCACCAACCTCGAAGTCGATGTGGGCTTTCCCGGCAGTATCATGCGAGATATTGTGGAATACAGTCATACCGATACGTGTGCCAGTCTCAGTTGGAATAATAATAGCAATAACAACACTAACAAGCAATCGCCATTGGAAGAATGGCACGCCGAAAAGGAGCACGTGGAAACACTGGTGGGGCTTTCGGGAGCCGCCATGTACTACAATTTACCCAGTCTCGCCAAGAAAATAGAGACCAATCTCACGCAACATTTGCGGCGTACACCGTCCCTGTCACTGGCCGTTTTGGCCGCCTGTCGCAAGGGGGGACCTTCCATTCCTGTCGAATTGGTCGAATGTGCCATGGCATCGGTGCGACGGAACAAAAGTGCACTCTTTGATGAAAAGGCCGTTGCCTGTGTCAATGACAGTCTCGTCAAGGAAATTCTCAAAGACAAAGACCTGAAAATTGACGAATACGATCTCTTCATGTTCCTCACGCAATGGATGGAACGCAGTCCCAAAGATCGCGAATCCGTCGCCAAAGATTTGAGCATTAATATCCGACTGGAAAAAATAAATCCAGAAGATTTGCATTCCAGTGTGTCGTCGTCGGGATTATTTGCACCGGATGAAATCCACGAAGCGTATCGGAAACAAGCTTTGGAAGCGCAACAAAGTAATCATGCGTTCCAAATTCCATCCTTTCAACAAACCAAAAGCATTGCTTGGCGGAAACTACACAGTGTATCCCTGTGGGTATCATCCAACTCTAGCTGACAAAAACTGACTCAATGTATCAATACATTAAAACCATTGATTCATTCCAGCAAAAATAATGGAACAGGACATTCACTTACGGTTTACTGTACAGTCGTACCCATCAATCTGCACGATCGTCTATAGAGTGGCAATTCTTTTGTGGACGTTTCGGTTTGCAAAAAGAAAATTTCCTAGATGACTACATCTTTAGTTGTCAGGAAGTTGGCAAATGCAGACAACAGTCTCCGACCCTACTTTCATCAGAATAGCGTGCAAGGGTCAACTTACGTAAATAATACTTTCAGTTAGCTAGCTAGCTAGAAACTCTTTTGGAAGCCATCAAGGAGAGCACCGAACTGAAAGCATTCAGTGCTCTAGCGTTGTAGTTGACCTGATAAAGTCCCCGTCATCACAGAGTGCCCCAGCAAATACCATCTCCTTTTCAGTCTGAGCACGGATTTATTCGATTGATTGATTCGATTCGTTCGAATCGAATCTGACAAAGGATCTTTGGATCTTTCATACCCGTTTCCTCGTGACTAAAGCAACTCACCCGATCGTCGATGTTCTGCCCATGGCGTCCCTCAAACGACAGCTCGACAGCTACCGGTAGAGTACCGTGTCTTGTCCTGATCTGATCAGTACATTGCCATGCCGCTACTGTACCATGAATGTGGGTAGTCCCTTTAGTGTGATTGGGAGAAATCCCGAAACGAGTGCTTTACCCGAGGCAGTTTGGTATCAGGAGAGCACTTCGACTGCCTCGTCCAATTTTTACTACAGCAACGCTCATCATGAGCAGAACGCCGATGCAGAAGGACAACAACATCCATCTGGATTCTTCGTTTCGCTCTTGCCAAGATGGGATATTGCGCAGGATGATTCACGCGCCAAATCGGTCTTTTACCAAGTCACACCGTTTTCCGATTTTCTCAATAATAATAATAAGGACAAGAAAAGCCATTTGTTTCGACTGCGACTGCCCAGACGATTGGCTGTGGTAGACGAAGAAGAAGAAATAATCATCACGACAGCCATCAGCAACGATGAGTCCATGGACGCTCCTCCTCCGTTGCCATCATCGCCACGCCATCAAGAGCGAAGGATTCCCTTGCTAGTCAGATTCACAGACAACCACAAATTGCTGGCCATGCAGTTCTCGCCCTTTATGGTCCGAATTGCCGTGGCAATACCAATAGGACATGACAAAACAACTACCCGGTCTTCTGCTCCTGATGCTGCTACTCAGCATTGGACCGTTGCCTTGCCATATTCTACTTCCTTGGACAATTCGACGACAATCATCAAAGACCCATACACACCACTGCCATCTTCTCCCGATGCCATGCCACAACGCAAGAAGAAGAAAAAGAAGAAAAAAGGACACACCACCACCACTACATCATCGTCCAACCATCACAATGAAACCATCTTGCCAGGGGGTCTATTTTGGCTCGATCAATCCTACGGCAATGCCCGTGGAAGTGACTACCAAGAGTTCTGGTTGGTATTGGTCACGTCTCGTTCGCTGCTTTGTTACACAGTAACCTACAATCGTCTCGACGAATATAGAAGACAACCTCTCCTCTCCATCGAATTGGCGCATCAGTTTTCCCATCCCACTGCTACAGCCGCGTGGTGGGCATCTCCCATGGTACTGGTGGTCGGTTCCTCTACTGCCAATGCCGACTTGTCGCTGCGAACTTACCTGTTTGGTGGGAATGGTCCCTTTACCAGTCACCGAGAAGTCCTGCAGAATCCATTGATTCTACCACTCCGTCTCGAACGACCACCTCCGGTGCGCTGCGATGCCTTTACGGTAGGAGGAGGAAACGGCAACAATCGTCAGGAAAGCACGCACAAACGAGTTTCTTCCTCATCATCATCTTCTCCTACGTCTCCTTCCAACGACACCAATCACTCGACCATAATATCTGTCGTCCAACTGTACAACAAGACGTATATTGTCCATGTACCGGCAGAGTCCGTCTTGGTCGCCTACAACGTTCATGCCATTCCCATCACACTCCATCAAGTCGATACCGAAAATTGTGTCATTCTGCAACAACAGGTACAGCGGCAGGTACGACTGCCCAAACGAATATCGCGAAAAAGCAAAGTAGAAGAACATGTCTTGATTACCACATTGGACAATGTACTCGTCATTACCTTTCGACGGTCCAAGTTTCACGTCATGGTGGATATTCTGGATAGTACCAAGGATGTCGTGGTGGAGAAAATAATGGCACAGGAAGAGGAAGTATTGGCGGTTCCATCCGATTCGGCAGCGCCTACTCCGTAAGTTCCTGTCTCTTTTGTAAGCACAAGTTTGTGTGAAAGATACTCAAATCCGTCTTTGTACCCACGTGTGTGACAAAAGTGCCCTCTTTATTGCACCCAACTTTTTGTTCTTGACGCAACAAGGTACCGTGCTACCCTTGTCACTAGATTTGGAACGATTAGCACCCTCCGTGATCAAACACGAGCGCTGCAACTTTACCATGCTCCTTCGACGAAGACACTTCTTTCAACAATCATCATCATCATCTACAGGCCGACAGACTGCCATGGCACACTTTTCGGCCATTGGAGCACTAGAACGGCCCGAGCAACGGTTGAAATGGATCAATCATGTGGCAGAGGTATACTGTAGACAGCAACAACAACGTCATCATCAGAACACAACAGCAACTCCCTACCAATGGGACGTGGTAGCTTCCGTGGATCTGATGTTCCAATGTGCGTTGCTGGGGAGAAGCGGATGGGAATTCCTTTCTTCAACAGATGTAATTGACTTTGATGATGAGTACAAACTGCTTCGTCGGATGCAACGGTACTCTCAGGCTCCCTCACATCCAGTTTTGTTCCAGACGGAGCTGCTGGAGCAATTATTCCTTCCTAAAGTTCAAAAGGTATTGAGGAAAAAGCGGCAAGCAGCCCGTTTGGCCAACGAAGATGGCAACAACAATACACAACTAGTTCTTCACATTGCCGAACTGGCCATGTCCTATGTTGGAGCGCTGGAGCGACATGGATCTCGGGCATGTCCTGCAATGCAACTCTTTGTCTTTGCGCTGCTATGGAGGCTTGGTGATGCCCAGGTTCTCATGGCGCTGTTGAAGGCATGGAAGACTCCGTCTCAACAAAAGAGCAGCCATCCAACAAGTTTCCTCGCCACTCAACGGCACGCGTTTCTGCTCATGGATGTTGTCCAACACGTCGAATTTGGATCCCTTGCCAGCAAAATTTTTGCACTGAATGACCAATGTAAGCTCGAACGCAGTCCCTCCATTTTGTGAAATTGCATGATTAATTGTCTGTAACTAAAAACTTGCCATTGAAAACCCCAACAGATGCGGTAGTGGCAACACTGAGAAAGCGAACGCTTCAGCTGTCCATGGGAATGCTTTCGGCCTCGCCAACGATGGACTACCGATATCCCAGCTGCCTCATTTCACTGCTTCTGCAGCACAGTCAACTTCACGAGGCTCTGGTGGCCGCGTCTGAGTTGTTGGATTCCTTTCACAGTCATCAACAAACTTCTTTCAAGACTCGAAGGAAAATAGCGGCTCTCATCTATGCAAGGAAATGCAACGGTGGGGACAATTTTCTGAACGTGGCGAACGCACTTTGGAACTGCGATCTGGAAGCAACAACATCTGATCGGTGTGCAATGCTACAATCCATGTTCTCCTTTCTGTCCAAATGGGACCCACGACGTGTCGCAACAATCTCAAAGGGGCGCGGGTTCAAGACCAGCGACGACATTTTTGAGTTGATGGAAGGGAGTGAGGCAAGAACGAAGTTTCTGTCCCGAAGGCCATCATGTTCGGCGCTGGCCGGAAAGACCAACACAGCAGCTCCGGCAGCTCGGCACACACCTTCTCCTTTCCCCAGAGGGATCGCCTTGGACAAGGTAGTGCTATCCAAGGATTTGACTTCCTTCTGGTCCTACTTTGGGCAAGTGTTTGGAGTTCCATAGCCGCTAACATATATATTCCATCGGAGCCTAAGGGACGGAGACGACCCGATGAACGGGTGCTGGGGCAGTGGGGGCTCGAGCTCGGTGTATACAGATATAGGCTAGTATGGAATTTTAAGCTAGTAGTAACAGGTGAAAGCTAGGTCACTTTGCGGTAATGAGGGAATGGATCCAATTGAGGAGAGGTTTGAAGGGGATGAAAGATCTTCTGAACCTCAGACAATCCTGAAATGTCAGGTCTCATATAATGCTGGCATTTCTTGCCTTTGGAGTCCTGCGAGTCAGCCCTGTGCTCCTATAGTTGAGGGTGGGATTGACTGTCTTCCTTTCACTGCAAGCTCCCAATTCTGTTCATTGTAGGCACTTTTACCGAATACTTTCTGGGTCTCTCCGTTATCTAATCTGGTCGGGAATCTCGTGGCAGGCCTCCACCACCAATTAGCTAATACGGTAGTCTGGAAATTTGTCGGTCAATCGTATGCCTTCGGTAGTGCTCATCAGTTTCCATCACCATTCTTGGGTGTTGGAGAATATGACGGGAGTGTGGAGGTAGGGCATCGACCAGTTGGGAGAGGAAGTTATGGTTGGCTTGGGTGATGGATGCCTGGAAGGTGGACTGTCAATGGAATGGATCAATTGAGTAGTGTCAAGGGCTTGAGAGTGGTGGTAGACATCAGCAGTGAGAAGGTGCTGGATGGAGGGGATGTCACAGGAATGGAAGAGTAACTTGGTGTGTAGATCAGTGGGGCCGTGAATGAGTTTTGGCGAGGTTGATAGAATACTTTTTGGAAGCTTGGGTAAGGATAGCAAAGGTGTCCGATCCAATGAATTGGCAAAGGAATCGAACTCCAGTTGTGATTTCTAGTTGGATATTGTTGCCAGCTTGGGAGTTGATGTAGACAATGGAAGCCTGAACTGAAGGTTCTGTACACGGAACATTGGAGGAGGTGCCTATGAGGAGTTTGGTTTGGAGAAGTTGAGCTCCATTCCAAGAGGTGGGCCGTGGTGTTGGAAGGGCTGGAGGACTGGAAAGATGTCATCTGGGTGGAGGAAAATTGAAGAGTCATCAACATATTGGAGTGCGGAGCCTCCGGCGTGGCCATCCTGGAAGTGAGCTTGGGCTCTGGCGGGAAGAAAGGTTGTCACTAGTTTGAGCAGGAGACACAGGTCGTTGATTGTTGGCGCAGTGGGGCATCCTTGAGCATGATCTTCCTGTTGGAGAAAGAACTGGAGTTCATTGTTGCCGTCAAAGTAGAAGCTTTTGTTGGGTGAGGAGTATAGGAGATCATGGGGTACCAAACAGGAGAATTCGGGGCACTCTACGAGACAATCTCGGATGGCTGTACGGGTGTACGGGAAACTTTGTTGAGCATGGTCTTGATATCAACAAGGTGGAGGACTCTGGATGGATTGGGCTTGGAAATGAATGGAATCAGGTGAAGCTGACATCAACCATGAAGTTCAGGGTGCCCTTGATAGCGATGGGGTATTGGCCAAAAAGGATGAGGTACCAGGTACCGGTACGAGCTAAAAAACGAGGTACTGTACTACATGTCTACATGTACCGTACCTGGGTTGCAAGGGGGGACTCGACTCGACTCCACACTATTGTCATGCCGACGTGCTTTGCTGGCTTCCACTTCGAGCAGTATCCACGTTTGACTCGACCAATGACGCACGCATCCTTCCAAGGAGCCAAAAAACAAATGAAGCGACCATGACGTACTGCACATGGAGGACATACGGTATGAATCGCCATCGTTAGTGCTAATGGAGGTTGACGATTCGAGGCATATTGAATTCAATCAACTGCTTCTTGCTATCTGGTATCGCTACATATACTTGTGACTAGCTAGGCGAAGTGTTGTTTTGACCACAAAGATGACGAAAACCTGTGGATCGTTCAGATACTCTGCTTGCCTGTTTTTGCTTTGGCAGTGTTTGTTTCAGCATGCGGCTCTGGCCTTTATGACTCCTGGTATTTCTCCCTCTCCATCCGGACAGGACAAAGCGCTGTTCATGATCAAGTTTCCAAAAGCCTTCGAGTCATTTTTGCCATCTCCTCCAACTCAGCCTCAAAGCAATGAAGTGAAGGACAAGCGCGAGGAGCTCAAGGCGACCTTATTGGATGCTTGCAAGAACTCGAACTCAAACAAACAAGAACAGCGAGCTGAAATCGAAACCGTAATTGAACAGCTCAAAGAGCTTTGTCCCACGTCACCTGCCACAGCAGCAAGCCCACTGCTTCAAAAAAAGTGGGCCCTGGTTTGGACCACGGAGAAGGAGATCAATTTCTTCTTGGATGTCGGCTTTAGCAACGAAATAGGACAAACCATTGCGGGAGAGGCTCTTGACAACAACATTGAATTTATTCGAGGAGGCGGCTTTTACGTTTCTGGCAAATTGTCCATTCCCGATTCCGAAGGGCCCAGAACAGACTTTGAATTCGAAACGGCAAAATTGGATTTGGGGAAGTGGGGCAAATTCCAATTTCCTCCCGTTGGAGCAGGTTGGTTCGATACAGTTTACTTGGACGATACGCTACGAGTCGATTTGAACAGTCGAGATGACATATTAATCTGCACGCCTTATTAGATCAATGTGTGCTGATAACACAAGCACCATCGATACCAGTTCCTCGGAATGGAAAAGTGCTTTGGCAAAGCAATTCTGAGCGCTTCCAAAACGCTCAGTCTCGCCAATTCATTTGACCGAACTTGTAGACTTGGCTTTGTGGTTTGCACTGTTCAACCAGGATTTGTGTAATTTGTCACAGTGTTGTTCGCAAAGTCGTTCCATGACGACATAGTGACCAGTCTCAGGCTAAAGGGGCCTTTGTGTAAACAAAAGTTGGACATCCTCGACTGCTTTCTTGCGTCCAGGTCATGTCAATGTACTCGGTGCGATGCTGAAATCCAATTGTCTTACTAGCAAGCTTTGGGGAAGTTTCAAACTTCCTCAATGTAGCCAGACATTTCAAGTTCGGAGCATTCTCTTCCAATTTGGCAGCAATGTGATGCATTAGAGCATCTGGGAAACATAAAGAAGCCATATAGATGTGTGTGACTTTGGACAAGTCCACCTCCAGCAAGTCTTCATTTAGAAACTCGACGGTAGCTTCCGTGGTTGTTTCTTGTGAACGACCGGATCGGAGTTCCTTGGCTGTGGATTGTAGGTCTGTCCATGCTGAAACAGCTGTTGCATGTCGCTGTGGAGCCAACTCAATGCCAACAGCTTTGGACAAAATTGGAAGTTCCATGAATGCTTGTAGAATCAGTTTCCCACGACCAGAACCCAAGTCCACAAACACAATCTCCTCGTCTTCCTCTTTTGAATGTTCATTTCCGGTTGTTGTTGTTGTTAAGCCCATGTGATAAAAGAGCTGCCGAGCCCCCACCGATGTTATTTCACCGTAGGTGGCCGGTGTTCTTTGCTGCTGGGCGTCACCAACATTGCCGTCTGAAGTTTTTATTGAAAATCGTTGCATTTTTGTATTGACAATGTTGCAATCTTCATCATCATCATCAAAGATGGGGTATCCTGGCCTGCTGGCCCATGGTTCCATAGATTCATCTAGTAATTCGTCCACCGATTTTCGCAAAGCCACTTCTGCAGGAGATTGAGGCAACGGGGCAATCATGGGAAGCTGCTGGACAAAGGTATCCGACGGCACCTGAAAGAGAGCTGCGGCTGCCTGTAGTCCCAAATGAACAAGAGCACCGGGACTTATAGAAGTGCTTGACGAGGTAGAAGAAAAAGTCTGGAGTAGCATCCTCGAAGATAATGATAAACCTGTGGCGGTGTGGCGATGGGTGGCGAGCGCTTCTGATTTTTGTGGAAGATCTTTGGGATCTTTTCTTCGGGTTCGATAACCCTAATGCTACCTTAGTACCGGTAGTGGTACAGTACGCGGCTGAAAGTCCGCCCAGTGTCCATCACGCAACTCTCATGGCCAACACCACCGTACTGGTCACGGTCTAGCAAGAGGACGCGAGGATATGTACTGTATTCATTTCTGTGTGCGGCGGCAAAGGATCCAAGGAGCATGCTCAGCCAAGTGGCAACGCACTCGCTGCCCAACCAGCCAAAGTTTCACCATGCACCACCGCACCAACACATCACCGCCGTACGAAAACCCCCAGTTCGGCTGAATTGTCCCATGATGGAGTGAGTGGAGTCGAGGCTTGGGATGTTGGGGGTGAAATTAATTTCCAACAGGCACCAAAAGAAACTACTCACACAAGAAATTTGCATGGTGCTGAAGCAGCTGTTCCTTTCCTCTCCTTTTGCCTTCAGAATCTCACTACCAGACAGTGGCTTTTCTCAGATCACCAAAAAGATGAGACAGAAAGTAGTCTAGCTAGCCAGTATGACACCATAGTGTAGTAGCGGCCCGTCCCGTACGGTACGGTAGATCCAGCTGTTATCTCTTTTGGTCAGCGCAAAAGCCGTTGTTTGATATTTTGGGGTTCTCAACGCAGGCCCTCCGGGCTGGAGTGCTCGTCGGAGTCGCTGCACCACATCGATGCAATGCACCGCAGATCCAACGGCGAAGGGGAAAGAAAAGCTGGGAGAACAGAACAACAGTCAAGAAAAGGACACACAACAGCCCACCGTATTAGGTTTCCTCATAGGAGAGAGATCAAGAGCAACTCCGCAGCTGCTATCAGGATTGCTTGGAGCATATCTGGTGGAGCTGTTGGATACTGTATCCAGAAAAAATTGCTCTGCTGTGTGTGAGGTCTGTTGTGGTGGCATCTTGAAAATTTGAAAGTCGCTCGTGGTTGGTCTTGCTAGATAGTGTGCCGGCCAGGTGGTTGCTGTAGCTTCCGAGTAACAGTGAAAATATTTTTTGTGCGTGGACAAGGCACACCTTCCCTCATCATTGCAATACTGTAATAAAACAAAGAAACATGGCGTCGAAAAACACTAGCGTTGCAGCTGACCTAAAGGGTGGCAAGGTGAATTTTGACTATTTGAAGAAGAACAACATGGACATTGCGGATTTGGTCAAGATGGCTCGAAAGGGCAAGGAAGCCGCTGCAGACGATGAAAGTGACGAGAGCTATTATGAAGAAATCATCGAGGAAGAAGTGATTGAAGACGATATGGTGCTGTGGAAGAGAACCGCCAACATGCCATCGAATTTTCAGATTCCTCAGTTCCAAGCCAAGAAATCTGCATCACCGCCAAAACCACCCAAAAAGAAGAAGAAAAAGAAAAAAGAAATTGATGGTTCCAAATTGCTGCTCTTGCAGTCTGCAGAGCAAAAATTGACGGATGCTAGCAAAAAATTTCGGGAAGCTCTTCAAGAAGGAGCAGCCATTGTCTCTCTTTTAGAATTTATGCTGGCGGATGTTGACTGGGACGACGACGAAATCGAAGAAGTCGATGGTGATACCTGGGAAACTCGCTCTACCTTTGTCAGTACCAGTGCCGAGGCCAAAAGCATTATTGATCGATTGGAATCGGCGAAACATGAGTTGATGGGGACAAGAAATAAACAAACAGCTCCACCACCAGCACCTGCTCCTTCTAAACCAGCCCCACCACCTGCTCCTTCTAAACCAGCCCCAGCACCTGCTCCTGTTACCAGGGCGGCATCTGCCCCATCAACAATAAAACAACAACAGAAACCAGCCACCCGGCCTTTGTTGGGAAGCCATCGTGAACCCAGTTTTAGGGCACCTGATTTGGCTACACTGGATGAAGAAGAGACAGAACACCAAAGTACAGCCAGCAGCAGTAGTGCCAGTGCGGGTAGTGGAGGTCCTCCTCCACCACCACCACCTCCGGCTAGTACAAAGAAAAATAATGACCTGGAAAAGGCCAAGAGTGAAATGCTTAAATTTGCCCAAGAGGGCAAGAAACTGGCAAACAAGTTGACATCGCCCTTGAAGACCACATCCAGTGCCAGTGACGAAATGGCAAAAGCCAAAGCTTCCATGATGGCATTTGCCAAAGAAGGGGCTGCTCTCGCTGATAATCTTTTAGAGTCTCGGTCGGATCATCGTCCAATGACAAAGAAAACGACTCCTCAACAAGCGGCTGTTGCAGCGAGCAACGTCGAAGTGATGCTGCATGAACCCAAAAAGGAGGAAAAAGAAGAACCTAAAGTTGAGGAAGCAAAGATTCCTCCTCCTCCGCCACCACCCGAAGAACCAGCCAAGGCCGAAGAATCAAAGGACAAGAGTCAACAACCTGTCGAAACCAAAGATGCATCAGCTATATCAGGAGAAACCCCACAACTGCCACTTTCACCACGCGATATTCAAAAGAAGGAAATGAATGAAGCCAAGAAAATGTTCTTGGATGCAGCCACGCAGGGTGCTTCCTTGGTGACGGCATTGGAAACCAAAATTGTCGAACAGGAGGCTGCCGAAACCGAAAAACAAGCTGATCCCAATGACAACACGGGCAATAAGGACGCTGCGGAGAATGACAACAACAATACAGAACATGTCGGTCAAGCCGAGGTAGCTCAGGCTCGTGATTCCTTTATGCGGCTGGCGCAGCAGGGAGTCGATTTGGTCAATCAACTGGAAAAGAAGATATCCACGCCCGTAGCTGCTACTGATGCAGAACAAACGGCAATAGATGCCAGCGAACGTGACGAGGCAATCAAGAAGGAGCTCACCAAAGCAGGAGACTTCTTCTTGGAAACGGCCAAGGAAGGAGCTCAACTGGTGCAAAAGTTGGAAACCAAACTGGAGGAGACTGCACATGGGAAGGAAACGAGCGATACAACTGATAGTGCGGGGCATGATTTGGAGCTAGCGAACAAACGAACTTCATTTTTGGCTGCCGCGGAGGAAGGTGCTAAACTGGTGGCCCAATTGGAGGACAAAATATCTCATGCAACTGTCGAAGCAGGGCAGACTACTACCGAACAATCTGAAGAAACTACCGCGAAACCAGAAAACGATGAGGCAAAGGCAGCTGCAGAGGATGCATCCAGCCCTCCAGACGCGGTAGCTTCTACCGAACAATCTACAGAATCCCCCGCGAAACCAGAAAGCGAGTCGGAGGCTGCTACTACTACTACTGAGCAAGCTGCAGAAACCGCCGCGAAACCAGAAAATGAATCGGCAACGGAAAATGGTGCAACCGCCCCTCCAGATGAAGTATCTTCGAAGGCAGCCGATGAAATAAATTCAGCGGAGACTCTATCCGCGGAACCCACCGCTGCTCCATCCCAGGAGAACGAAACCAAGCCATCCGAACCAACAGCAGGAGAGGAGGCCGAGGTGGCAACGACCGAGAAACCGACGGCGCCACCGACGGACCAAGATGGAGCCAGTTCTAGCGAACAGACAGGTGCCGCCGATGGATCAACCGAGCTGGACAACAAGGAGGCGTCCGGAGAAAACGATGAGGCGAAGGCAGACCCCAATGGAGAGACTCCAGTTGAAACAAAGGACAAAACAGAAGCCGGCACCGGAGAAGCTGCGAAATCGGAGGAAGCCGACAAAACAGGTGATGCAGAGGAAAAAGCGACGCCTTCTGAAGAAGGTGTAGCAGGAGAAAAAAACCAAGAAGAATCACTCCCATCCAAGGACACGGCTGAAGAAGGCAAAGACAACGGATCAGAAGAACCGGGAGCCCAGGATAGTGTAGAAAAAGAAGCAGAGCTGTCACCAGAAGAGCAAAAGAGAAAAGCCGAAGAAGCAAGGGAGCGTCTCGCGCGAGAACGACTCCTAGCATTTTATCGCCGCTTCAATCCGAACTTGGCACCAAAAGTCGACAAGATTATGGAAACCTACAAAGGTCGCATAGATGAGCTCAATGACAAAATGAAGAAGAAATATGGTGAGGGATTCATGCCAGAGTCGCAGTCGCAAGACAAGAACAAAGCCGAGTCAAAGGATGATAGCAAGGGCGATGCAGAAGGCGGTGGCGACGATAAGAGAGGGTCTGTCAAAGTGAGCTCGGCAGATATTCTGGCTCTTCGGGCAAATGCAACAGATTCATTCGACAGTGCATTCGACAGTGTAGAGGGTGATGATGCAGGGAAGACCCAACCGACAACCTCGGAACCAACAGCTGATTCGACAAGTGGCGCCGCTAGCGAAGCAAACACCGGCACCCCCGAAGGTGTTGCTGGAGGCGATGGTGAAGACGGCAAACATCCCGAGAACGGCGACACAGTACAGCAACCTGCTGCAGAAAAATCTGCCGAGGCAGCAATCAGCGCAAAGGATGATCTGGATAAGGCGAAGCAATCATTTCTGGCTGCTGCACAAGAAGGGGCATCAATGATATCACAACTAGAGAAGAAACTCGAAACAGACCAGGAGCCCAAAGAGGATGGTACGAAAGTTAACACGGAAGCCGAGGGCGAGATGGAAAACAATGGCGTCAAAGAGGAAGGACTTATGACTAAGGCGCGGCAGTCATTCCTAGCTGCTGCAAAGGAAGGGGCCGCCTTGGTAGCAATGTTGGAAGACCAGGGCCAAAAAGACAAACCAACAAAAGAAGAGACGGATGTTCTCCACACTAGCAAGAGCTTCATGGATGCAGCTTTTCTTGTCGATAAATTGGACAAGTCAGCCAAACGCAGCTCCGTTGTTTCAGTCAAGGAAGTTGCAGAGGAAGTGGAGCTTGTGGAAGAGGAAGTCGTCGAAGATGAAGTGGAGGCTGCGAAGAAGGCATTGTTGCAGTTTGCGAAGGAGGGCGCTTCATTAGTGTCCAAGCTGGAAAGCAAGTTCTCTGCTGACGAGAAGGCCGAGGAAGACGAAGAGATCATTGAGGAAGTCGTTGAGAGTGATGACGAGCGAGCAGACTTTCTTCAATCTGCTAAAGCAGACTTTCTGGCGTTTTCCAAAGGCTTGGACAAGAAGCTGTAGATACAATGCCTTGGTTAACATGTGCAAGCGATGTCACGGTAGCAGGTTGTCCTCTGCGGTGGTCGATTGTCTCGATCATTGTTTCACATCCAACCAGACTCGACTATATACGGCCGAACCGGTTTTGCTGCCTTTGTGAACCCAGACTAATAGCGATTTTCTGATAGATTATTCAATAAGGTGTATTCATTTATTTATCATTGCGATGTCAAGTCGACTGAACGATCGGCTGCTCAGCTGCGGAACTCCGGTTCATCTTCCGGCTACCGCATGATAAGGCAACGTGCATGTACAGCGGGACACCCCCGGGCTGCTGCTGCGGATCCCACATGAACAGGCGCCATCCCGTACACTTGATTTTGATCATGTTGAGAGCTGGCAATGTTCTGGCCAAATGCGATGGCTCCATGCATGAAACATGCGGACTCACATCCAGGTAGACAAATCCTGATTGAAGGAATCGACTCGACTCAGCTTTCCAGAACATAACTGAAGTGTTTTTGACATGGCTCGCATGTCCCCACTAGAAACACCCAAATTCTCATTCGGTCTATCGGCGCCTAACTTTGTAGTAGGGATCTTTGCATATAGCCAGGAAGTCTTGACCTTTTATCAACATAATGATGTTGATCCATTAGTATGCACAGTGTCCGTCAATCCACACAACGCAGCCATTGTCACGTAGCCACTGGATCACTACACTATTGTTGCATCTGGTAGTTGAAAATGGTACTGGATCCCATGGACACCCATTTGCACGAGCCCACTTTAAAATTTCCAAATGTCCATTTTCAGCAGCACGGGCACATGTCCGCGCATCCCATTGACAACCAGTTTCTCTTAACCATTGGAGCAATTCCAAATGTCCATTCTCAGCAGCATGTTGACATGTTGATTGATCCAATGGACAACCATTTTCATGAGCCCACTTTACAACTTCCAAATGGCCATTTTTAGCAGCATACGAACATGTCCAAACATCCCATGGGCATCCCTTTTCTCTTGCCCATTTCAACAACTCCAAATGACCACCTTCAGCAGCATGGCAGCACACTGACCCATCCCATGGACAGCCATTTTCGTGCGCAAATTTCAATACTTCCAAATGTCCACCTCCAGCTGCCATTGCACATGTACCTTCATCCCATGGACAACCGTTTTCACGAGCCCACTTTAAAATTTTGAAGTGGCCATTTTCAGCCGCCAATGCACATGTACCTTCATTCCATGGACAACCATTCGCTCTTAACCATTGGAGCAATTCCAAATGGCCATATTCAGCAGCATAGATACATGTATTTTCATCCCATGGGAATCCTTGTTGACGCGCCCACTGCATAACATCAAGATTTCCAATTTTTGCAATTACAGTACAGAGGTCATCACGATCAGGTGTTTTATGGTTGAAGTTGTCCTTGAGCCAGTATTCCGCACGGTGCTGATTACAGAATGTTTTGCTGTAAAGAGTGTCGGTGATTTCTTCAGAGCGACGGTCCTCCACGTCTCCCTCCGGGTCATCATTAACCTTTCTTGGATTTTTCTTGAGTTCTATTTTGCAGTACTCTTTGTAGAGTTGATTCATCTTTTTGTTGACGGCTCCTACAAAAGCGTACTGTCCAACACCGCCAAAGGGTAGAATCTGGTCAATCCAAATCAAATCATCAGCAAACAGAAGAGAATCGACGGGAGGAGACATCTTCTGCTTCTTATTGGCAGTACCTTTATCGGTATTACTCTTATTAATAGTACTACCGGTAGTAGTAGCGGTGCCAGTATTCATGGTCCTAGTATTAGGTTGGATACAATTAGTGGTGGTGGCTGTTGTGCGGCTTGCTTTGGTGTGATGCTGTTTGCAATAATAATAATAATAATAATAATAGTGCTACGGTTCCTAGGTATCAGAGCTAGTTTACCAGGAATACAACGGAACTGAAGAAACTGTGAGCGGAACGTAATCGCCCCACTTCCAGGTCTCAGTAATAAATCCACCAGACACGCAACAGGAATGCCTTTAAACAACTTTTTGGGGTCATTCAAAAACCTCTTTCTCAAGCCGAAACTTCAATCTCAACACGTGCGGCCAAACCTCATTATTTCTTGTTGTTGCTGCCGCTGTTGTCCTCTCATTGTCTGGTCTTGTGCTTTGGTGGTGGGTGTAATCATCGATTCAAAGAGTCAAGCTTCCTGATCCTCTTCTCTCTGCTTTCTCTTTACAAATCAAGACATTGAGCGGTTGCAAACGTCGACCGTCACTCGCTAGGTAGAAGGCGCTGCCAGTTCACCTGCCATTTTCTGTTCCACGGTATCGCCATGACGAACGAGACGACAATGACTGCGCCATCCAAATCTTGGTTTTCCATGAGCAAGGAAGAACGATGGAGTCCTGCGTGTCTTGACATGGTGGCATCTGCCTGGTCGTTGGACGTCAAAGACGACATTCCCAAGTTGCTACAACTCAGAGAACGTCTTTCTGCAGAATTTGAGGGTTACCATTTGCTGGACCCTTTGGAACTGGCACGATGTTACCACGATGCCAAAGGCAAACTCCCACAAGCCGAAGAACAGTTTCGTAAAATGGTGGCATGGCGAAAAGAAGAAGGCATCGATGACCTCTTGCAGCAAGCTGCTGCTGTACCACAATACGTGCACACGTACTATCCATCGTGTTTTCTCGACGGCGTGGACAAGGATGGAGATCCCATTTGGTGTGATCGAGTGGGTGCATCGGATGTGCTGATGGTCCACCAACACTACGGTCATGTCCCATTTCGTGACTACACACTCTATGTACGAGAAAATGGTCTACGAGGAGCATTTGCTCGAGAATTCGAACGACGACACGGACGCCCACCCGCTCGTGTCACGTGCATTTTGGACATGGAAGGACTCTGTCGTCGACATTTACATGTGGAACTCATTTCACCTCTGGAAGAGGGCATTCAGTTTCTACAGGAGTATTACGGAGGCATGGCCAAACACATTTTTGTGGTCCGAGCACCCTTTGTCTTTCGCATTGTCTGGTCCATTGCACAGCACTTTTGCAGTGAAAGTCTCAAAAAGACCATTGTACTATGCAATGCCAGAAACACACAATCTACATTGGAGAAATACATGGATCGGGATGTCTTGCCACCCACGTTGGGTGGACGAGGGAAACCAGGAGTGGGATTCGAGAAAAGTGGCAATCTCCAAGGGGGAGTCATGCCAGAAGAAGCGCTCCATGAACCAGATCCATTGCAATTGAAATCGTCAGGGTCCAGTGATACAACAGTCGCTTCCAACGACACCTATTCCATGGATGGATCCACCACGCCACCGGTTTCTCCCGCATCGTCCATGTTGTCTACTGGTGTAGGCGGCGTCTGCGATTCCATCCCGGAAGCGGCATCCGTGACGTACAGCCAGTCGGTCAATGTGCGGACGACGTTGCTCTTGAGTGGTTATCTGACAGATGATGATGGCGACAATCGTCGTGTGATGATCAAGTAAGTAGTCATGGCTGGCTGCATTGCTACGGTACTACTGTGTGCTTCTGAAAAATAGTATGCTAGACAATATAAACGAAGCAACCCAATAGAAAAGCCACTATTAAAGTAGACTCTAAAGATAAATGAAACATAGTCAATAGGAGCGCTAGACCAAGACAAGGTGGAAACAAAAGAGAACATCGTGCCGTTTTTGATGCGTGGTACATGGCCTGCTGTGCCGGTCGCCATCTCGGAGAGCAACAATACCTTAGATTGTGCACCGGACTAAAAGCAAGCACCAACGGCTTAGTGCAGGAACAAGCTGAAGCTCTCAAACGGAAAAGAATGACAAATCAAACCTAGCGACTACAGTAGTCTTCAAGTCTTCAAATTACAGCGGTGTTTGGATTGAAACATTGGCTGGCATCTTGCTACCACCAGCGGGCAAACTCCCATCCAGCGAGAAACTAGCTAGAACAAGTAAGTGTGCCGACCAAACCAAGGTGTCTATGATTCTTCTAGCAGCAACGTCGGGTCCTTTGCCGTGATCAATGCTAAGGATTCCGGGATGGACTACACGGTGATCTTTGCATCACTGCTCACAAAGGGGACTTTGCCAGACCCATCGCCATAGATGGTCGTGACGGCCCCTTCTGCTGTTCTGGTGGAATCTACTTGATGGGCATGCTTATTTGTCTTTTCGATCGACAGGTACTCTGGTGCATTTCCCTCTTTCCAAGACTTGGCAATGGCCCCGGAAATGAGCTTTGGAAGCAAACGGATGATTTCAATTTTGCCAGGATACTTGTCTTTGGGAATTGTGACCACAGTCATGTTGGAATCAAAGCGCCGCACGCCAAAACCCATGTCTTTGCCTGCTTCAATGTCGCTATTCCAAACGTCAAAGAAAACCGGGCCCGCAATGTCGTTGGTGGAGACGAATGGCAAGTGGAACAGCAGCGTAAACAACATTCCAATATTGCCCAGAGTCGGATAGATATCTGCACGTCGTCCTTCCATGTACGCCAATACCTTGCCGGAAATGCCCCCTGCACCATGGTGGAGTATGTAACGTGAGGTAGCAGTCTCCGAGGACACGTGCATGACAGAAGCCTTTTTCACTAGAGCATTGTTGCTGGCAGCATTCAAAGTTTGTCGAATGATCTGCCGTGGCAATGCCTTGGCACCAAAGTTTTCAGTGGCAATGACATTCACAGATCCACCGGGCAACATGAGGATAGGAGCATCATAGGGCCATCTACCATTGTTTTCGCGCAAAGGGTCTTGCACCAACTCGTAGAGTGTCGAGTCGCCAGATAACACTGCTATTGCCTTGTAGGAGGACAAGTCCTTGGTCTTGCTGAGACCAATGATATCGTCGCTGTTTCGGGAGATGTAGACTTCCACGTGTCGTCCTGTAGCTTTCAATTCGGCCAAGCAATCGGCGTAGGGTTCCATGGGTTTCCCACCAGCGCTAGCAGGATTAACGAGAAACAGAATATCCGGATCGTCGTCACTGTTGGAGGAATCGGCGGCGTGATCCGCCGCGAAGAGATCCAGGCGTTGCTGCCAACGTGTCATGGTGATAGTATCGTGGGGTTAATGTGTTTGCTTGAGAGAAATGATAAAGAGAGAGGTTGCCTCCTTTTGCCACTATTATTGTGAGGGTTCTTTGGATATAGTGAGTCCTGGGTGACCGACTGCTAGCCTTCTCAGCACGCAGGATTGAGTCACGGTCGTCGCGCGACTAAACTCTTTTGGTACCGGTAGCACTGTATCTTCTTGTTAAAAATCATGATCTGTTCACTTCTTGTTCTGTTTCTGGTTCACTTCAATGTTCTCATAACAACGAACAACACTCCACCGAAAGCCGTGACGCCGTGACCATGGGTCTTGTGTTCATCCCCTCACATTTTCCATTGGGTGCAGCACTCGTCGTCCATGAGCTCTTCCATGCCTCTCTTCATGCTTCACGCCTGTACCGGTCTTGAAGCTGTAGTGGAGCCTCCTCGTCCACTACGGGCGCAGAATCAGCACTACCCGAAACTCTCCTCCAGATTACTACTAGGGTAATAGAAATAAAAGATGTGAGCAAGAAACTAAGTTTATCTTTTTTGACTAGCATGAAAAATCGGACATCGATACATGTAGGTGGAATGCCTCCATCGAGGGGCAGCTGCGGGAACCTTGAAATAGACTCGTTAGCTCCAACAGGGAAGGGCTGGAGAGCGCAACAGACTGGATATATGCAACAAACAAGACACAAATCTGCCAGGAATCATTCATCCGTCGGCAAAGAGCGATCCTAGCCAAAGCCATTCATCGCCGCTGGCGTTTAGACTTCAATTTCCTGACTGTACACTTCTGCGGGTAGCCCGACAGCTGCTTGGGAAGAAACAACATCAGGAATCATCGGTTTTTGGGTTCTGGTGGCAACGTTCTTTTTAGACTTGATGGAACCAGACGAGACATTGCTCTTCTTGCTGCTGCTTGTATAGGAATGCACGGCGGTTTGTTGAATCTTGGCGACGCGGCGAGTTTTGAGAATGACGCCGACTGTGTAAAGAAGCTTGAAAGCCAAACCAATGCCAATCAGAATCAACGTATCACGAACAGTGTTGTCTTCTGCCTCGGCAATCGGCATGACTCGCTCGAATGCTCGAAGAACCTCAATGCCTGGTACTCCGGCACCGGGGGTCTCTTCCTGGATGCAAACTGCAGATTGGGTTCCAACTTCACAAGTTGCAAAGGTGGCATGGGAGAGGGTTTCGTAGAGGGCGCTGCGCACAAAGTACGAAAAGGGCATGATGTAGTAGAAGATGGTCCAGGGGTAGTACATGTCGTCCAAGGGGATGACGAACCCTCCAAACAGGAATGATGCGACTGCAATCGACGCGAGAAGGAGGTTAGTCGTCATTCCGATTCAATATCAGGGGGGCTGTTTCGCTTGGAATTCAGTAGCAACTTACACCAAAAGTTCATCAATTGAAGCATTCCAAGGATTGGGTCTGAAACGATCAAGGCAAGAATGCCGAATGAGTTTGGTGCGCAACCAGCAAACTCTAGCTAGCGGACACAGAAAGTACTTACCGTCGAACAGGATAGAGAAGAATTCGGACACAGACTCGAAGACAAATAGCATGGCCGCAAAGAGGAAGAAGTACATTTTGGCACCTTCGGCGGGAAAATCCATGATAACGAAGCCAGGAATGCCAAGGCAGCAAACCGAAAGGAGGAGGATGAAGGGAAGCGTCAATACGTTCTTTGCCATGACATAAGTGAAACCTGTGACCATGCCATTCTTTGCTTCGCGGACGATTGACTTGAATTCGTCATTGAGCGCATACACGGCGACAACAGCCACTAAACAGAGAAAGCCGCATCGAGAACGGTCAGTGGGAAGCTGTGACACACGAAATCACTACCCGGGTCAAAGCCGGTACTTACTGTTTGTGATGACACCACTAAACCAAATGATGACCCACATCTTGTTGAGCACCTGTTCCTGCTCGTAAACCCGTGCATTCCAGTAGACAAACGCGAAGAAAATGTTTGCCAAGAGTCCTGCTGCGCACCTGCAATTCCAGAACACCAAAACAAGCCGTTAACCAAGGCGAAGGAAGTACGAAAGCAAGGACAAAGGAAGTTCGGGCTCACCTGCCAAGATAGAGGATGGGATCGCGGATGATCAGAGTAGCATGACGTTTCATCATGATACCCATCTCCTTGAAGAAGCTTGTGCCAGCATAGCTCGTCACACCCTCTTGGCCGTCATCGTCATCCCATGATTTGCCATGATGAGACGAGTGTCCAGCACCAGGCTTTCTTTCTTCCCACGTGTCTAGCAAGTACTCGACCGCCTTGTCATCACTGAAATCGGCATTGGCCAGGTCAAGGAAGTATTCGGCGGGGTTCGTATCAGGTGGGCAAGGGTGGCCAATGCTTTCAAAGTAGGGAATGGAATCAGCAACATCGCCAGCAAACACCTCGCGACCTTTGGACATGATCATCAATTGGTCAAAACCATTGTAGACCTTGGTGGATGGCTGATGAATCGTGCACACAATGATGATTCTTTCATCTTTGGCAACCCGGACAATCTCTTTCATAATGTTTTCTGCTGCTGCAGCATCCAGTCCCTGGAGGGGGTGATTGATTTGGTGAGGGCACTGTTGTGGAATGGTCTCAAATCTAAACCATAACATCACTTACAGAGGTAGGTTCATCCAAGAAAAGCAACGTAGGCTGCTTCAAGAGAGCCATTGCAATGGATAGTCGGCGGGCTTGTCCTCCGCTAAGGCGAGCACATCGGGTATCAGCACAGATGTCAAGACCCATCTTATGGATGATATCATCGACAATGGCAGGGATATCACTCTTGTCGGCAACCTCAAAGAGATCAGCAGCATAAAGAAGAGACTCGCGGGCTGTCAAGTAGGGCCAATGCTTGTCATGTTGCTTTACCACATAACAATGCTTCTTAAAGATGTTGTCGGTGAGAGGAACACCATTGAGGGTGACGGCTCCAGATGGAGTGCCATAATGAGCATCCAGAGTCAGTGAACTGATCAAGGTTGTTTCTGATGGACAAGACAGACAAGGTGATACTTAGTTTCCACCGTCTGGTCAGATAGACAAACGGGCAAAACTTGTGACACTTACTTCCAGCACCAGAAGGGCCCATAATGGCCAGCACATGGCCCCAGCTAACCCTTCCGCTTACATCCCTGAGGATGTGCTTTTCGTTCTTGCCTTTTCCAGCAACAAAATTGACGTTTTTGAAGCGGAGGACTGACGACTCCATTCCGGAACGACGAGAGCTGTTGCCAAGGCCAGTGCTTCCATGAGCGGAACCACCCGTGGTGGGAGAGGTGATTGAAGGATCGGAGGCAATGAGTTTCGACATGGCGATGTTTTTCTGTTTGTTGATTTTAGAGAAGCTTGCTTTCGCGGTTGATGGCCACTGTTTTCTGAATTTGTGAGACCAACAAGAGGAGCTTTGCTATCATCATGTGGGCAAGGAATTGGCAGGCAAGGAACACCTTCGAAGTGGCCCAGTGTGACAGTGAATCCATGCGATTAGGTTGAAGCAAGCTCAGGCGAGAACTATTATCTCTCAAAGCGAGAACTCAAGACAAAAAGAAGGGTGTGCGAAAATACGTAGAAAGCTACCACAAAGTGGTACAACAAATCATTCACAGATACTCAAAGATCTTCTACAGGCTTCGCGCGAAGGAACCCCAGCGAATACAATCCGAAATTGACTTTTTCAATGGTTCAAACCAAGACCGCTCAGACTCTAAACTTTGACAAGTACACGTTACCACTTTCGGACGTGTTTATTCTTTTTCGGATATTTTCCATTTCGGAAAGTCCGTCTGATCCATGCTTGGGTTGGAATTCATTCCTGTTCCCACCTACAGAAAAGCTTCACACCACGCGACGCACCCTGTTCAAGATCTTCTGTCGTGGTGATGTTGTAATCGCTCCTTCTCACAAAATTGACGATCTCGAATCTGGAAGCAGCAACAAACAACAACATCAAACTCTCACCTAACACGTCAAACCAAGCAACATGATGACATCTACCGAACAAGTTCAGGTCTCAGGAACAAACCCCAAGCGCCTTGGAAGCAGGGCCGGCTCGAACAACAGCGGGATGGAATCGTCCATTTTCAAGTTCAAGAACGTCAACTTTGTTGCCGGCAAGGGTGACAAACAAAAGCATTTGCTTCAGGACGTCAGCGGAACGGTCAAGTTTGGACGTAAGTCTATGGCAACATCATTCATCCAAGCTGGAGGACTAACATTTGGAAGTGCCTTGACTAATCCCAACATTTTTTGTTGTTGTTACACTGTTTAGGTGTCCTTGCCGTCATGGGCCCATCCGGAGCTGGCAGTAAGTATTTCAGCAGCTACCCGTCGTGTGTCACGGACTGGCTGTCAAGCGAGCGCCATGGGTAAATTGACAAGCAAGCTCATTTCTCACGAATATGTTGTCCCTCAATTTCCGTTTTCAGAAACGACTTTGATCAGTGCCCTTACTTTGGATGCCCACTATGGTACTCCATCTGGAGCTGTCACCCTCAATGGTGTCGCTCTTACTGATAAATTGTTCAAAAGACACTGCTATGTGGTCAAACAACATGACAAGCACTGGCCTTATCTCACCTGCAGGGAGACTCTTCAGTATGCTGCTGAACTGTATCAAGTCGCAGACAGGAGCAACATTCCAGCTGTTGTCGAGGAGACAATTCAGAAGATGGGATTGGCAGTTTGTGCTGATACTCGATGTGCTCGCCTTAGTGGTGGGCAAGCTCGCCGCCTCTCCATCGGCATGGCCCTATTGAAGCAGCCTACAGTGCTTTTCTTGGATGAGCCAACATCTGTGAGTATTATTCTTGGTCTGATTCTGAATTTTTCAACTTATGGCAGCAACCTAACCAACCTGATGAATCACATAGGGATTGGATGCTGCTGCTGCTGACAACATCATGCAGGAGATCGTCCGTGTTGCCAAGGATGAGCGGTTGATCATCATGTGCTCAATCCACCAGCCCAGCTCCAAGGTGTACCAAGGCTTTGACCAGTTGATGATTCTGTCCCGTGGCAGGGAGGCCTACTCTGGTGACTTGATTGATGCTCCTCCATACTTTGAAAGTATTGGCGCCCCTGTTCCCTCCCAGATGAATCCAGCAGGTGAGCCATGGGCAGCGGCTATTTATCCTTTTCACATACGCAGCATTATCTCACTGATGCATTGCAAACGATATCGACAGAGCACTACTTGGATTTGGTGAACTCGGACTTCAGTTCCGAAGAAGAGGTTGTCAAGCTCCTAGATACCTGGGAAGAAAGAGCTCCAAACCAGCAAAGCTCGCACGGACCGGCTAACAATGACGAAGGTCAAGACGGAGTCACTGGGGGTCTCCGCCGAAACTTTTTCGATGATCTTCAGATCATGTTCCGCCGTCACTTCAAATTGATTATCAGAGACCCTGTGCTCTACGTTGGAAGGATGGTGAGTGCAGGACGACGCTTCAACCTTATCGCTTAGTACTGGTTCGTATCTCACGCGTTTTCAACCCCCCGTGCCCCAATACCAGGTGATGATCCTGATTTCGAACTTGGTCTTTGCCTTCGTTTACTGGAATGCCCGCGACTACCTGCAATCACAAGTACCCAACAAACATTTCAGTAAGTGCTATGGGGGGAGCACGAAAGGCCATGCCCACGACCGCAGCTCATCACATATTTGGTCCGATTCCCACTTGCTTGCAGTAAACATCTGGTTTGTGGCAGTTGCATCCAACAGTAAGTAGGGCTGGAACATTTACGAAGGCCATGCTCCATGACGGCAGCTCATTTGGTATCTTTGATTCTCCCTTGCAGTGGGTGTGGTAGCCGTGTACGCCCTGAACGATGAATTCAAGTCGATCCTCCGCGAGACGAAGAACGGCGGGTTGAATCCATTCGCTTATGTGGTTGCCAAGTCCATTATGGTGGTTCCTGTGCTGTGGGTCATGAGCATCTTTGCCCTCGCGATCCCGGGATTGCTGGTTCAAGATCAGCCAAAGGACGTCTTCCTTCAAGCATCACTTCTATGGACAGTCATCATGTTCTGCTTTGAGTGTTTGGCCGAATGCCTGTCAGGTGAGACTGACGCAGTTAGTTGGTTTTGAAGCGAATGATGAATCGTTTGTTCCTCGACGTTTTGGAACGTGACTGACATCTCTTCCTCTTGGCTTTCAGTCTGGGTCGAAGATCAAATCTTTGGAATGCTTCAGTTCATGAACTTCTGGTGTAAGTTGCAATTCGCCATGTAAGCAAGCCGGTCTCTCGACTTGACGTGTCCTCACGAACCCCTGCATCAACTTGATTCGACTGGCAGTCATGTGTTTCCTATTCTCTGGCAACTTCATTGAGTCCACCATCCTCTACTACCCGTTCGAACTCTTCTACCACATCCTTCCCTTCTCCTACTACATCCGAAGCTGCACATACCTCAACCTCCACGATGCAACCTGGGACCAATGCACCGGTGGCCCGGCAATCGGACAGGCCATCTGTGTTGAATCTGGTGATCCCACGGAAGTCCTCGATAGCTTGAGCAACATCTATGGCGTCGTCGATTCCGAAGACCACGTCGCTAGAGACATGCTCGTCATTTTTGGTATCGGTATGATTTTCAAGATCTTGTACGTTGTTGGGGTCTGGGTCAAGACCAGCAAGGTTGCCACCATCAAATCCAACTAAGAAAACCTATATGCGCACAAGTGACCCCCAGCAGAGACCTGAACATTGCATTTGGTTGGATGTCTTGTTCTGTTTCGTTTGTCTACGATCGCCGGACGCTAAGAGAAAAAAGCCCCGGAGCTGGGCACTGAACCTTTCCTTTTGGTTCAATCTATGTTACACATTCACAAAGCAATGCATGTAGTACAATCTCATCAAAGACTATTAGAACAATCTATCGACAATCATTAGTCTTCTTCGTCTACTGTACTTGATCTGAGAAAAAGGTGCCCGCTGGGCAAGTTCCTGTTGTGGCTGGCTAGCCAGATAGATGATACCCATCTCAGGGCCAGCACGGCACCATGATCAAGGAACACACCTTACGTCAATAGCCCCCATCATGCTTGCGTACTGTATCAATCTCTCTCGTACCGGTGCCGGTAGGAGGCATTGCGGTCTTTCCTTGTTTGACCTGGTCGTTACTAGTAGACTTTCTGTCATTCTTTAGAGCTACAAGTAGATTATCTTTTTAACTTATCTACTACTATCGATATTGGGGCGGATTGCTGTGGTGTGATCATGTCTCTCGTTGACTCGCTAAGCTGCAGACACTCAGGACCGTCCTGGCGTCATCATCATCAGAAAGCTCAAAGAATCCCCCACCAAGCCGCGCCACCTTGGCCGAGACACTCGCGACAGACCCATCCATGCCATCACTAAACTTACCATCCACCAGACCAGGATCGATATCCTCACGAGTAGCCAAGTCATAATCGTGCTTGGATTTCGGCGGCACCAGTCCACCATCGAGCCGCTTGGGCAATCCTATCCCCCCTTCACCATGTCCGCCCTCGTAAATACACGGTGGAAGATTTTCCAGCTCAATGTACTCACTCATTACATCCAAATAGTCTCCCTCCGACGCAAAGATCAAAAGCTTCTTCATTCTGTCCTCGAGAAAATGCTGCACAATTTTCCAAATCACTTTGAAAATGCGAGGCGCCCGAATGACAAAGACCCGTTTGGCAATGCCGCAGTAATGGGCCTGTGCCACATTCACGACCTCTCGAAACAACGGCAAGAGTCCCGGTTTCATGTGTCTGGTGGACAACCCCACAAGATCGACAACGACGGTAATGCGATGAATTTCATGCCCGTGTAAGCGTTCATACTCTTTTTGGTACCGTCCACGTCCTGCTTCTTCCCGAATCCACGTCAGATACTCGCACATGGCTTTGGCGCCAAAGCGTTGATACAATGACCAGGAGTCGGTCGGCCCCGGTCGTTCGATGTATATTGGATCGCCATCCTTGTCACAGCAATCTGGTCGTAGAATGGTGTTGGAAAAGTACTTCAAGAGCAACATGGGAGGACGGTACGTTTCAATAAGGTGATCAATGCCATTTTCTTCACGCCATTGAATGGTTTTGCGAAAGCAATCTTCGGCCACCTTTAGATTGTGTTTGTGTTCCCTCAAGTACGCGAGCAAGATGCTGGGTCTATTTTTCCAGTGATCCACGTCGGCGACTCGTTGTTGCAACTCTCGTAGTTGAGCTTCTTCCTTTGGGGTGCATTCCCAAACTCGCATGGCCTCTCGAAAGTTGGCGTCGGACCAGTCTTCCGGTTGGAGTGCATTTCTATCTCTAGCGTACGAGAAGGCCGACGATGTGGGAGACAAGAGGTCCGTGACTGTGGTACCGGACCGCTGGCTGAATGGAGCCTCTTCGTCGGACATCAAGCTGGATGTCTGCACAGACAACACGTCGGACGTTTTGATTTCCTTGGGTGGCAGCAATGCTGCTTGTTTTTGTTTTTGTTGTCGCTTTTCCCACATGCGATCCAATTCTTCCCAACTGGGTACCTTTCCACCATCCAAACTGTTGGGCATGGCGACTCCACCATGCCCCTCGCCTCCTTCAAAGAGACAGGGTGGAAGTTTCTCCAGCTCGACATATTCCGAGAGTACCTCGAGGTAGTTATCGGCCGTGGCAAAGACCATCATGTTCTTCATATTCTCACCACAAAAATGCTGTGCTACTTTCCACACCATGGGGAATAATTTGCTGACTCGAATGACAATAATTTCTGTTGTTTCATACGGTAAATAGATGACAACAAGAAGAAGAGGGTGAGGGAATGAATGCAAAAACAACCTTTCATCTGTTCACCGAGTCTTCGCTGCACTTACTTTTGCCAAAGCCTACATAGTATTCCTGCACAATTTTGAGTCCCTCTTTGAGTAGAGGCAACAATGCCGGTCGACAGTGATCAAAGCTCATTCCTCCCAAATCAATAATGGCCGTGGCTCTCATGGGTGGTTTGCCGCCACTTTTTTGTTGGAAATCTTCGGCCCATTTTCCACGGATACAGACTTCTCGAATATAAACGGCATATCGAATCAGATCGTGTTGTCCAAAGCGTTTGAACAAGCCCCAACTATCGGCAGCACCGACTCGTTCGACCCATATGGGATCTCCCTCTTTGTCGGTGGCCGCCAAGACTGTCGTGGGCAGGTACTCTTCCATGAGCGGATGCGGTGGTTGGTAGTCATGAATGATATCGTCCACCTTCTCGTCGATCCGCCATTGGATCATGCGTCGAAATTTGGCTTCGGCATCCTTGACGTTGAATTTGGCATCGCGCAAATATCGTACCACTTCGTTGGGTTGATTCTTCCAATGTGTCACATCCGTCAGACGATCTCGGAGTTGCCACAGCTTTTCCACTTGATCTTCCTTCATGTTCCACCAATCCGCGACCATGGCCACCGAGTCGTCGGTCCATTGCGTTAACGTCTCCCATTTGTTGCCGCTAGTACTACTAGTAGTGGTTGTAGTGGTAGTAGTTGTGGTGGAGGAAGAAGTACGGGTCACCGAGGACGAAGACTGGATGGATGGTCTCTGCTCCTTCACTCCTCCTCCTTCCATTTCTCCCTTTTTCGGGCGCTTCTTGCTGGCCCTCTTCTTGCCGCTCTTGCTTGTCATGGTGTTGATGAAAACTACTATCTAGCTAGACAACTATATGTTTCGCACTCGTAATATAAAAAGAGTTGTGGGACAAGGGGAAGCTTCCCACAAGTTCTTTCGCCTTTACAAGGTTGCTCCTTGTTGGGTGGGTTACTGGCAATCGCAAAGCTCCTCATTTTTGTGGATGACTCATGTTGCCGTTGCAATGACCATCGGATGCAGATTTATTAACGGGCGCAAATTTGTTCTAAATCTTTCAGACAAAATTGGCATTTCATTGACAGTTGAGAGTTCACTTCCTCGTTGTGACTTGTGACGTGCCTTGCTACAGTCGCACTAGTACCGTACCGTACCGTACCGTACCGTACCGAAGGTACCGGTACCGGTAACTGGTATGATACCGGTATAGTGCAGCGCAGGAGCTTTTCCGCACGCTTTTGAGTACGCTGTACCGGTATGACTGGCTTCAGTTCATCCACGATGCCGTACCGTACCAGAACCAAGAATTTGGGTTCCACGGGCGCCGTCATTTGGACTCAGACTGACTGTCACTCGACACTTGGAAACCCTGGATGTACCCGCACCATTATTTGCAAGTGGAAGCAGGGGACTGGGTCATGTCACAAAGCCTTGCAAATTTTCACCGATTGTATTGGGAGGGCTTGCTTCCATTGCTTGCAGAAGAGGAAGGCCGGAGCGACGCAAGTAAAAGGAGCAGCCTGCCATCAGCCAGTTATCCTGGACAAGGCAGCATATGGGATCTCACGCCTCTGCGACCGAGGCACCCTACAAAACATCAGGCATCTCAGGAGATGGCACGTCGGAGGATGTTGAGACCACCCACGCAAAGAACCACAACCATACTAGCCAAGTATCGCCGTGGCTCAGATGGATCGATTGACTTTGCCTAACTAGTAATCCGAGGGTGGATCAGTCAATCGATCGATAAACCTCCCCTGAACCCAAGCGAAAGGACGAAAACACAGTTTTGAGAACCGAAAATGAAACGTAAAACCAAAGCCAAACTACTTTTACAAAATAACGACGGTTGGAAGCACAATCTCTGATAGCTAGCTAGCATACTAGTAATAATAATGTATGACAGCCGAAACACAAATATGAAACTGTTTGGTAGATCCAGATCTAGTTGAGAGGATCGTGGGAATGTTGCGTGGAAAACGTTAGAGCCAGCGAAGATGTAAATACATGAGGAAACTCTGCTCAGATACGGTACCTTTACCAGTGAGTCGAGTGACTCAAGTCACACATACCAGCGGGACACACTCTTTCCATGTTTACCGGTGACAGACCCTCGCCTCATCTCTGTCTTCATCAGAAAACACACAATCTGGACCAAACCCATGATATGCAAATTGGAGGAGGAATGCCCAAACATTATAAAGTAATTATGGAGCTAGCCGGCAACAAGTCTATGAATCGAATCAGGGAGGAAGGATGTCAAAGCGTAATCAAAGCAAGTACAACTGGAGTTGGAAGCAATCCAGAGTTCAAGAAGCAAGCAGTTGAAGGGGAGACATGCCCACTGCATTCTTTGACCCTCCTCGCAGTGGCGAAGGGGATTTGGTCAAGTGAAGCGAATTGGTCGTCATGACAGAATGGAGTCAGGAGCTTTGGGGTGATGGAAGTCTTTAGAAAGGATTGAATGTGGACTCGGAAAATCCTCCCTCAGGTTGGAAAGAGTTGGATTGCTGGCTCGGCTCCTGTCCCTGTGAATTATCCCCTTGTGTTGGCTCTTGTACTTGCGAGAACGACAACAGTGGCTCCCCTTGCTTCTCTTCCCCTCCTTGCAATGATAATGGCATTGGTTCCCCAGCCAGTGGCTCCTGTGAGAATGGCATTGGTTCCATATCGAAGAAGTTTTCCGACGCCATATTAATATCCAAGCCGATCTGATCATTCTCTTGTGGCTGAAATAATGGTTCCTGGAGAAGCGACTGGAAGTCGGAGGAAAAGTGGGGAAACTGCAAATTGAATTGACTGTTATCGTTGGTGCTTTCAGTGTTATTGTTGTTGCTGGCAGCGGCGGCAGCTGGCACCGGTGGCGTTTGCTCGCTCATGTTGATGCTGGCGCTGCGGGCAACATTATTCTGAGGTGGATGAGGAAGCATGGCGGAGGAAACCGGCAAAGTGTTACCAGCACTGGTCATGGCAAACGGATATTGCATGCTGGGTGATGGCGCTGAAACGAATTGGTCCCGACCAGGAGCCAAGGCTTGATGGTGTCCCATCATATATGAAGTTGGCGCCGAAAACATGCCTGCTGCGTTTGGCGCCGCTGCCAGTGGAACCAAAAGAGCTGGGATTCCTCCTGGAGTAGTCACAACACTAGCTATAGGGAATTGCATAGTTTGATGCCCTGCTCCTGACTGGCCAAATGTTACGCCACAACTGGCAAGATACCCATGCAAACCTGCTGGTGCCGGACCTTGCCCCTGGAGCTGGGGGTCTCGAAGGTCGAGAAGGGAAGGAGCCGAAGCGGGTGATGCCACGGTGGCATCCTTTTTCTGCCCTGCTTGCTGTTTCCCCCCTGAAAATTGAGCCTTGAGATGAGGTTTCTGATCCGAGGAGGCGGCTTTAGGGACCTTTTGGCGCTTTGGTTTCTCCATACCTCTGGCCAAGTCTGGCTGTCCTCGAAGAAACTTTTCGTGGTAGATTGCTGTAGGTTTCATCAAAAGTTGGGAAAGTAAGTAACAATCATCGTTAGAACACAACAGTCCATGTCATTGGCTTCGCACAACACAGAAGAAGAAAGGACACAGACTTACCTCCTTTATCAGGTCCTTCCTGGATCCTATCGAAACCGTACAAGTTTAGTTGACGAATCCAGCTGGTGTGCTTGAGACGAATAAACCAGGTGGGCATGACAATCGAAATGAACCTTTTCCTGTCATAAACTTTGAATGCCATCCCATGATCCAACCATCGGACGATCTTTCGTAGTCGTTTCATCTCAGGGTGCTTCTGAGCCAATTCCTCAATATCAGCAAGCATTTTGTAGAGCATCATGGGGAAGGAAGCATTGGGGTCAGGATTAGCCGGCAACAATGCTCGGATCTTTGCCTGGAAGTCGTTATCACTCATCATCATCATTTTTGAAGTGCAAGGTTTTGGGTTTTGGAATTGTGAGCAGCAACAGGTCAGGCCCAATCTCAATGCTACCTTCGGTGCATCTCGCGATCCCCGTCCCACCCAGCCTCCTGCAAAAGCTTGGATGTAGTACAGAAAGTACGTCGCCGCCTCAGCCCAAAGTTACCGGTATGCACGAAAACGTTCTAACAGGGTCACAGCAAACAAGCGGACTATGAGTGTCATGGTTGTAGTTGAAGGTGTTGCACTCTGGACACTTCGGCGTAAAATACATATCAGTACTAAATTGCTTATAGTGCCAGTCGTTTCAAAAACAGCATACTAGACCGAACTCAAACAATTTACATGAAATTGTAGTGGGTGGGTGCTTCGGAAGGAACAAGAGAACGTCGAGGAAATCTTACGATAATAACTCATCTCAAAAGGACTCCCACCAAGAGGCCAGGACAAGAGGTGCTTCAGCTATGGCTACACTAATATATAATATTGACTAGACTATAGCAACTGGAAAGATTTTCTTCCACTGGTATTCATGTCGAGAGTTTGATGGCGTTGACATTGCCAAATCTGCATGATGGCTGATCTTGGAGCTTTGAAACGATTGCTTTGCAGCTATGCCTACGGGAACATTAAGATTCTAGAATGACGAGAGCGAACTATACCGATAAAATTTAGGCTTTGCTTCTATGAGGAGGATATGCTCTTTCTTGGTACCGTATCCTGTGGAGTTGGCTGCGTGCCATTTTCCAGGATTCTTGGATGGAGAGTAAACTTAGTCTGCACTGAGGAGCCGAGATAGACTCGACTCTGACGGCTGTGTTTGGTTTGCAGCAGAGAAGGCGCTGAGGTGCTTGGCCTGTGAAATTGAATCTCCATGGTCGGCAAGAGCCAGCAGCGGCCACCACACCGCGAAGTCTAGGTGCATCTGGTGCATACATAATATTATTATTATTAATTTTCAGAGGATTGAATGATGAAGAAGCGGTACCGGTTTCCAATTAAGTGTTCTAGCTGTTCTGAGAGAGAACGGTTCTAGATCTTTTGGACACGCAAAGGCCCCGACTCGCCGGATGCAATCTTACCAAAAAAAATTGAAGTCAACATCAGGAGCGGCTAAAAGCCACTGAACAGAGCAAAAATTCGACGCGACCAAACTTTGACCGGTGAAATGGCTCCCGTTTTCACTGTGGAGAACACCTTTGTCAAAGGAGCAATCGTATCAAAAAGAGTGATTTAAGAACAATCCCTCCTTTGAAATCTCTACTGGTATACACTTCGCCTATTCGTCACGTGGTTAGGGAGCTGTTAAGGTTAGCTTGTGGAATCTTGCAAACGAGAGGAGCACCAGTGTTTATGATGTTGTAAGTCTCAGAGGCTTCTACCAAAAAAGACACGATCGATACACCGGTATAGATGAAAACTATCTCGCAAAATCCAGGTAAAACTCACAGCTACCCAGCACCAGCTAGCTAGATGCTAGATCGATCGAGAACTCGCCAGCTAGAATACAGCTTATGATACTCCAATGAGAAACAGGTGGGAAATCCGATCGCCAGAGTGGTCCCTGGCTACCGCTAGCTACTCTGGGGTAGTCCCTGACCATCTAACCTAAACTGGTGGGAGAGATGGCGCTCCCCTCTTGAAGACTGCCAAGCCTACCGCCTTTGGAATGGAAAATACTCTTGCTTCTGAAGGATCTGAAGGAACATGGTAGCAACCGATAGCTAAGATATCATCACAAAGCAAGAGCCAATTTTGTTGCCAGCACGAGCCATGAGAGCAAGAAACACCACTCAAGGCGAGCAACTAGTTGCTTTTTACGAACGGGGGCCCTGCGTTGGCTGCAGGTCTTGATAGTCCGCGATGGGTTGGCTTGCACCTGAATGCTGGTTGACGGAGGGGAGACCTAGCTTCTTCCCAGACTGGCCTAAAAGATGGCTTGTTGGGAGTCTGATAAGGCATCGATAAAGTTGGTAATCCGAGGGGTTGGGCATCCGCAGCTGCATCCGCATATCCCAGAGTGGAAAGACGGTGGAGCACAATGCCCAGACTGAACTAAGATTAGCTAGTACCGGTACTAGTAGCTATTAGCTTCAGTAGCTGGTTAGCTGGTGAATTTATTTTTAAGGAAGGCCAAAGCTGCATAATTTGTATGATTTAAGAAGCATTTTCCTTCCTTGCCTCTCAAGCCTCAAGTTTTGACGGTCAGAAGAGTTTCACTGTGACGGTTCAGTATAAACTTAATCTCCCTTGAACTTTCTCGAAAAGAACAGCCATGGCGAAACAGCTATCCTGCCCACTCTACTAGCTACATACTAGTATGCAGCTAGCTATGCCCACCATGGCCACAGAGCTGCCACAGCTACCTGCCCAGCGTACAGTACACCGTACGACTGTACCCACCACCAACCAATGCTGAGTAGCTGAGCTAGCTAGTACAATACATAGATAGTAGAAGCTAGCTAGAGATAGATCCATGACAGGAGCTGCAACCCAGTTGTGGTTACTCAGTAGTGTGTTAGCTGTGGATTGAGCTGTTGTGTAGACTACCGGTAGTCTACTTCGTACTTTGTACTTTCTCAAAACGAGTTATTCCTTGGGGTTTCTCTTCCCCCCTTGTTACAGAAAAGCTGAGTTCTCTTTATACCGGTACCAGAACCGGTACCAGAACCGTCACGCAAAATTTAATGAAGAAGACAGCTAGCTAGAAGACACAGCTTGTTTCATGTTTCATACGTTCCAGCTGTTGTTGACATGCAGAGTAGCCTTGCAGAGTTGACCCTCGAACCGAAGGCTTACTGCAGATACCGGTACAGTACACGATCAAGCAACATCCAAGTTGCGGGTTGCGGTTGCTCGCTCGGTTTAACAAACTCATACGAACTCTTTGTGCCCGTCGAAACCGACACGGGTCAAACCGGCCGCAAGGAAACTAACCTTAGGAGGGAGAGCCCTACTACAAGCATGGAACAATGATGTAAGTGATGTTTTCCCTTGCTTCTTCGCCCACTTGGCGGTACTGGCTACTAGTAGGTAGAATGATGCTGTTTGCTTGCCGTCGGTGCAGCCTGTGCCTGTACTGATCAAGCCCAACCCCACACCTGCCGGTAGCTACTCGAGTGCTACCTATCTAGTAGCTAGGTTCACAGCAAGGGGTGCCGTATTACAGAGTAGACTAGTACATCGTACCGGTACCAAGACAGCTTTCTTCACCATTTACTTGACCTGAAAGAAGGTTTGGCCACATGCTTCCCCCTAACCTTCAACACGGTATCGGAGAATCTTTAGTCACGAAGTTGACGAAAGCGGATCTTTACAAGGAGCAAGGAGCCGTCTCCAAAAAATCCGAAGAGACAACAAGACGTCACTCGTCACTCGAGCTGCAGCTCCACCAGCAGGCAGCAACAACCTTGTTTGTTCCGACAACCTTCTACGATTGCTATTGCTGTGCCTTTCTGCTTGCTTGTTGTTGATTAAATAAAAGGTCAAAAGAGGCTGTCGAGCATGTCCCATCAAGAAGATATCGTTCCGGACGCCGCGTTGTCTGCGCCAACGACCAGTGTTCCCACGGCCGACGCTGTTCCCAGCGGCAACACGCCCATGAAGTCCCGAAACCCCAACGATCCACTGCGATGGTTCATCTGCTTGATTGACAATCGCAATAGAACCAAGATTTTGAAATTCCACCCACAAGAATCTCTGGGCAACATTACCAAGAAAATTGCCAAAAAATTTGGCGTGGAAGATCAATTGGATGAAGAGCACGCCTTGCTCTACTTGATATCAGGAGGAGGAGACAAAGGATTGCATTTGATTGACGAAGTGGAGGAAGTCGAGTTTGATGAAAAGGTGGCGTTGGATCCAACGGGGAACTACATTCGAGATCAGCAACAACAAACTGAATCCACTCAAGACTCGGGCGAAGTAAGCATTCTTGAAGCTCCTGTGGATGCATCTCCACAACGAACCAAGTCTTCTACAAAGAGGGGTTTCCGCAGCAGGCAATCTGCAAGGGCTTCGTGGGACTCTGATGAGGATGAATCCTGTGCCACAGGGTCCTCCGTTCCTACTACAAAAATCACACGCAAGAAACAATCCACTGGCAAAAATCGAAATGAAAGTAGGAGTAGAGGAAAGGGTTCGGCAAGAGCCTATCAACGGACGTCATCCAACACCCCCACGAAACACTCTACAACAAAAATTCATACCAATTGGGACTCTACCCGCTCTGGGCATTCTTCGGAAGAAGAGAGCACTGATTACGATTACGAGCCCCCAGGACGCAAAAGACGCCACCAAAGCAAAACCAATCGTCACCAAAGCAAACGAATTGCGGGTCAATCCAAGCCACTCACCGTAGATTCCGATGACAGTATGGATGATGAGACTGTCCCGGCTCGTATAACCCGATCCAAACGGCGGCAATCCACCCACAGAAAACAATGCACGAGGCAAGCCCCTACTAGTGAGGAAAGTGGCAATCACCAACCGCAGCAAAGGCGTCCAACAGGTGCCTACGATAAATCATCATCCAAGAAGAAACCAGCCGCCCCAGATGATTCTTCAAGGCCAATAACGATCACAAGAAGGACGGCGGATACCACCAGTGACGCTGAGACGGTCCGCAGCATTCGTTCGTCCACACGGAGATCGCCGAGGCGCTCTCGCCAGACAACCACGCAGTATGATGGTGAGGTAACTGTCATTACCAAAAGGGTGGCAACGAGGAAGAATTCTCCCAAGCGAGCACCCAACGTGTCACGTCAACTGTCTGACGGCGGACCAGTGGATGATGACGAAAACGACGATGACGACGACGTCGTGGAAACGGAGCCCCCACCATGCACTGAGGATCCATATCCAGTGGGATCCTTCCACTTTATCTACGATGAATGCTTTGGATATTCATTCCCTGTGCAAGTCATCAAACCGCCAAAGAGTGAGAAGATCCGGGCAAAAAAGAACGAACGCTGCATCGCGTGGATTGGATATCATTACAGCATCGAAGTTGTCCCCGTAGCAAGACTCGAAGAATTCACCGACGAGCGAGAGTACGCTTGGCGGACTGTCACGGAACCGGCTCTCAAACAACAGGCCAGGCAACGCGAAGCTGCCGAGAAAAAGAATCCGTCACCACCAAAAGCAAGGGCGAAGGAAGACAAAATGGAAGATGTCCAAGTTGGCAGCCGCTGCTTTGTAAATACACCCGATGGCGACTATCCTGCAACTGTCACCAAGCTCTGCCCCAAAGCGACGGACAAGTGCATTATCACGTTTGTTGGCTATTCAAAAGCACCCAAGAGAGTGCTCAAGGCAGACCTTCTCAAAGCGACGGATACCCGTGAGATGATCTATGAGGTGCGGCAAAAATACTCGGAGAAACAGAATGAGCTGGAAGCCAAGAGAAGAAGAAAAAGGGGCGGCGTGGCAGAGCAAGAACCGCCTGCAAAGCGACCAATGAGAGGTTCCCCTACAGCAACTAGTAAGCTCGGCACTAAGAGGAACAACAAAAAAGATTCCGACGATAGCAGTGTGGCGGATGGTGTGGACACAGAGACGCGATTGTATGGACCTGCAACCAGTGTTGAGAATCTTCCCACTGTTTTCATGACGAGGCTTGTACCCAATGGGACGTTGCAAAGGCAACGCAATCGCCTCATCTATTTTGCCCGCGATGACGAACGCCCATTATGCATTGCTGAAAAGTTCCAGATCCCGGTGGGAAAGATCATGTACGACAATCGCCGTGTCTGGCCTCAATTGAAAACTTCTTCTAGATTGAAAAAGAATACCCCTGTCGTTTTGCCAAGGATGTGGAATGGCCGGGATGTGTTCCTCTGCAAGATCGGTAGAACCAACAATAGGCAAGCATCATCGGGACGTGACGAAAGAATGGCAACTCCAATCTCAAAAACGAAGAAGAGAAAAGCATCAAACGGACGGGACGAAAGAGTGGGAACTCCAATTTCAACAACGAAGAAGAGAAACGCATCGAGAGGAAATTCGATGGCAGCAACTTCAGCAGCGTCACCTAGAGCAAACAAATCGACGGAGTCGCCTCGCCGTTTCGGAAAGGCTAGCATGGTCCTGGAAGTGGATGGAGCCGATAGCGCGCTGGATGGCCAGGAATTGTCGTTAGTGAATTCCTCCTCGAGCACAACCGACGAAGATACGAAGAAGGATGAAGGTGATAAGAATCTCCAGGACGAGGTTGCTTCTTCAGCCGGTGGAAGCACCACGACCGATGACGACGAAAAGGAGGATGACGATGATCAGAATACACACCCAGACGCAGCTTCTACAACCGGCGGCAGCACCACCACTGAAGACGACGAAAAGGAGGTTGACGGTGATCAGGATCTCCAACCAGGCACCGGCGGCATCGCCACCACTGAAGACGAAAAGGAAGTTGACGGTGATCAGGTTGTCCAACCAGTCGTAGCATCAACAACTGGCGGCATCGCCACAGCTGATGACGATGAAAAGGAGGACAAAGGTGATCAGGTTGTCCAACCAGTCGTAGCATCAACAACTGGCGGCATCGCCACAGCTGATGACAATGAAAAGGAGGATCAGGATCTCCAACCATTCGTATCAACAACCGACGGCATCGCCACAGCTGATGACGACGAAAAGGAGGTTGACGGTGATCAGGATCTCCAACCAGTCGTAGCATCAACAACCAACGGAATTGCCACAGCTGATGACGATGAAAAGGAGGATGAATGTGATCAAGATTTCCAGCCAAGAGGGCCTTCTGCCATATCCGGTGGCAGCACAATGTCAGATGATGATGACGACAACAACAACAACGAGAAATCGCATCACGAGAACGAAAGCTTAAGCGACGATCCAAACAACACCAACGAGCCTGCCCAGGACGACACTTCCGCGGACGTCCCAGGCGACAATACTGGCGCTAGGTCGGAAGGCAGCACCACTGCTTGCGGCAGCAACAAGTCGGGTTGTGATCCCAACGACACCACAAAGCCAGCCAAGGATGACACTGGCGCGATCGTGACAGGAGAGACCAGCGCGATCGTAACGGGAGACAACAGGATAGCAAGCCAAGAACAAGATAAAGATCAGGACGAAGAGAAAACTAGCGCGGTCGATCCAGGGGACAAGATGAGTGCAGACCAGGAGCGCGAGGAAGATCACAAGGACGTGGTTTCCCACGTTACATCCAGTTCCAGTGATACCGAGCATGAAAACGACAGCAGGAAGAAACATAGTAACAGCGGCCAACAAAATCGGGACGGGGATGAGACGATTTCTGACAACAGACCAGTCAACTCTGGGGATGGGACGACTCGCAGCAACAGCCCTGTCAACTCTGGGGATGGCGGCGAGCAAACGCAACAAGGGCATCCTGATGATGGCAGTGATAATGTGCCATCCAAGGGATCACAGAACAGTACCGGTAGTGACTGGGAGCGCTTGGATCGAACATCCGTTCTGGGTGATTTCGATGATGATGCTTTCTTGCCAACGACGCAGGACGTGAGCTGAGAAACTGGCTTAGCTGTCTCCTCCAATCCTAGCGCATCAATATAGTATTGACAGTTTGGTGAGTTCTCTAATCGTAATCTTGTGCGGGGAACCCCAGAATCCAGTTTCGTCAACATGTTTTCCTTTTCTGCTTCTGGTGGCATACGCTTGTCAGCTGGAGTGGAGTTTTATCAACTTCCAACTCGTGTTCTACTTGGTCTTTAACTGGCTTGATTTCTCCGTCGCATTTTTCCCCTTGGGGGTCCATGTTTGAAGTCCCCACGGTAGAAAGGGCAGATCTCTGGGCTAGCTGGGAGGTAGCCTTTTGAGATCTTTCATATCTCCCACTTTTTTCATTTTAGTTTCATTGTTTTGAACACCACTCTGTAGCTAGCAACGTGTTAGATGACAGGTTATAAGCTCACATGCATGGCTACAAGGTCTATGGCGGCAATGCAAAAAGATGCCTATGTACTCAATCAAAATGACGTGCTCCGAGTGCAGTACTGGTACGCACTGCAGGGACACCCTGAATCTGGCAGTTTATGGGAAGCTCACACCAACAAAATCTTCCAGTCCCTTGGCTTCACACCTACCACCCATGATAGGTCCATCTACTCTGCCACTTATAAGGGCCATCTGGTTTTGATGCTTATACAGGTTGATGATCTTGCCATTGCTTCTCCCAGAAAAACTATTGCCCAGGAAATCTATCGTCAGATTGGTGTGCAACTACAGTTGCCCCAAGAGACAAAACCACCTTTCAAGTATTTGGGTCTCCTGATGGACTACAATGAACTTGATGTCCATCAGCCAGTTCGAAGCTGAGTTCCTGGGGGCTGTGACAGCAGCCTTTCAGGCCAAATACCTTCCAGTCCTCAAAGAGCTTGGATTGGCACCCCCCAAACCAGTTGCGGCCAAAACAGAAGGGCGCCAAGCTCCTCTGCGGACGAAGACAGCGCCAGCGCTTCAAGTCCAAAGGGACATCAAAGATCCTCCAGGAGACAATCCAAGAGGAGGAGCAGAAACTCCAGAACCAGGAGCTCCAGGTAGTTTGGAACTACCGCTCACGCATGCATAGAACATATGGGACCCTGCACTCTCTGTCAACCACAATGCATACAATGCCATCTCATCCATGTTTATCACCCAATATCGTAACCGTCCAACTCACTCTGCATTTCATGACCTCACTGATGGAAAATTCAGCCAGCCAGGTAAGACTTTGGATGGGTTTGGGCTGAGCATCTTTGTCTCTCTTTGTCTTTTGCAAACAACTAACCCAATGAAATTGATCAATAGGTACTGCTATAGAGGTGAGACACAGAGTGTTATTTAAATTGTATTATGAGACCAGGGCGTCAAGGTCTCTATCCTCCCTCTTTACCTACATCACAACTGCCTTATCTCACTTGTGTACCGGTGTCATGTAGAATAATATGGACGTGTGTCAAGCAATGTCAAGGTATTTCAATTGCCATGTGTAGCCTGTGGCAGTATTTAATAAATGGAAGGAGAAGGGACACGTTCTGGTTGTCACGGGGAGGGTGTCATCATTCCCACGGTAAAAGGACAGAAATCTAGGTAGCCTTTTGATCTTTCCTTTTTGTTCATTTAGTCTCATTGTTTACACATGAATCTAGCCAGAGAGATGGATGACACAGCCATGCTAACGACCTTGAGCAAGTTCACACCCAGAAGCCACTTTAAGACAACACCCCGCATCATTGAAATCATACGGATCCGCACAGTACAACAGTAGGTTTGTTGCTGGCTCGGTACCAGTACTTGTTGGCAGCGGCTCCGCTGTCAACACTGAGGGAGTTAGAATCGCCCCAGTAACCCAAGGGTGGTAGGAACAGCATGGCACAAAGATCATCCATGACTACTCTTGTCGTCGACAAGAGAGGCCTGGACGATCTTTGCTTTGTTGGTTTGACGGAAGCTTGATTGATTGATGTGTATTAATTAATGCAACACCACTCTCTTGCCAATATGTTTGACCAGTTGATGGTGTGTGACATACCAAGGTCCCTGTTGCGCGACAAACATGTCAATGGGCAGACGACAAAAGACATCATCATCAACGTCTAGTACCTGTTCCATCATGCGTCGACCCCATAGTTGCGCTGGAGTTCCAAATCGATAGAGACACGTATCGGGACTGTTTCGGGTAAAGGAGTAATAGTCCCATTGCGCTTGGTGGTAAACGTACAAGAGTTCGCGACGAAACTGGATCCCATCCAGGAGCATGACATCATCTTCAATGGTCACGACGGCCCGAAAATCGTCGTCATGTTGTTGTTGGGATGATGATGTTGATTGTTCTATGGTTTGTCGAAAGACGTGTTGGTAAATGGCAAAGAGTCGACTCTTGAAGGTTTCCGTTTGACAGCGAGTATTGGTGTAGTCTTGACTGATTTGCGAGGTGTTGACCAGTTGAATGGGAAATCCTGCTTTTGTCCAACTTTGGAGCACTGGGTCAACCAGGTGTTTGGGTCTCGCACTAATCATGAGCATGGGTGGCAAATCCTGTGTAGCATCCGTGGTAGCATCATCATCCACAATAGTAGGACACCCACCGAGACTGTAGAGAGGCTTCCATAGATTGCTACTCCAATGATCCAAGGGAGCCTCTAATTCTTTGTCCACGTAGGATTGATTCCACTGATGCACACTCCAGATCACATGGCCAAGGACAAGCAGAATCAAGATGAACAACACCCGCAAAATGATGGAGAGCAGTGGGGGGTTTCTCTGGCCCAGGCGATTGCCTCGCCGAAAGATTGGAAGCGTCATCAAGCCACGGTGCCTCTTTTGGAATCAAGCCACCGGAAGGTTAGCTAGCTAGCAGAGGATATTCTTTGTCAGCCAAGCCCCGACACAACCAAACACGTTCATGGTGACAGAAGTTGCAATCTACAGTATAGTGATCCAAAGAGGTCATCGCGAGTGTGGTGGAAATGGAAGAGAAGATGAGAAATCGTTGTTGCGGTTTGGCCGGCAGAGCTGAAACTTAAGAGTAGCTGAACCCTAAGAAGGGAAAACAGAATGGCGGCTTCGTCAACGGTTTCGATAACGGTTGGATTTATAACGGCTCATCTGGCGTGCCTGCCTCCGAAAGAAAACCTCAAAACCTCAAATTCGTCTCTCTTGTCATTTTTTCTTTCGCTTCAAATACCTTATTACAACTGTACTTTAGAGGTCTTGGAAGACTTTAGTAAAGGTCTTGGAAGACTTTAGAGATTTGAAGTATCCTCTTGAGTACTAGTACTAGTAGTAGTCCCACCAAACCACATACCGGTAGTAACTCCGATTTGAAGTCATATTAATTTCAAGCCTACCCAAAACTTGAGTTGGAGTTGATTGACCAAAAATGATGGCCCCCAGTGCAACCAACAACAACCCACAACCCACCAATCGGTTTCGGTTGTTTGCTCGTCTCCCCAACGAAGTGCACACCAAAATCTGTGTCTTTGATCCCTTTAACATTCCTTCCTTAAAGACCCTCTGTGTGGCGGTAGCCAGCAAACTAAAGGCTGCACCAGGGATGAACTATCAGCTGTTGGTGGATAACATGGCCGTGGTAGAGCACACATCGGAGCTGAGAGATGGAGATACCGTGGTCCTGCAAGTCACTGCGCCGTCACCCCCTGTCATTGTCGAAGAACAAGATGTTCGTCCAAACTTTGAGACCAACAATGACAATGGCATTTATATTGTAAGAGTCAATTCCCAGCAACAATCTACGCCTGCTTCTACCGATACCACCGCCACCACAACTATTATCACCACCAATGACAGCAATGCTGCCAACCAGCAAACGACCAATGACGACTCCCCACCAAAGTCTGACAAGGCTACCACCAAAGTATCACCACAATCTGACAACACACAGACAGCTGCCAATCATCAGACCAATAGCAGCAACGAAAGCAACCATATGATTGCAACTAGCAGTGGACTCTCTTTGACACAAGAACTATCCAAGAGTCAGAGGAAAAACTCTGACGCTACGAGTGATACCAGTGTCGATAGCACCAAATCCATTGCCGAAGTGGCAGTCAAGGCGGCCGTCCGAGCGGCAGCCGCAGAGCTGGCGGGCATGCCAGATTGCAGCGACGATGAAACCGAGTCGGAGGAGGATGACACGGTCGAATTGGTCAGTGTCATGCCTACCACCACCAAAACGAACAATAATAGACGACGATCCAAGCGATTGAACAACAACAAGACCAATGACAGTGACAAGGAGAATGCTCCACCCAAGCGGCCCAAAAAGGTCAATTTCGAGGGAGGTAAAAGCAATCCACAAGAGCAAGACGAACCCACCAAACCACCACCCGCCAAGGAGGCAGTCAAGGATACTCCTAAGAGCTTTGAGGTCAATGAACGGTACTTTGTATCGCACTTTGATGGCAATTACTACCCTGTGCGAATCATTGGAGCTGGCAGCTCCGATGGCCGCCGCTGTGTCCAGTATGAGGAATCCACCATTGCAAAGGAGTTCCCCATTGGGGAATTACTCCAAGAAACGGAGGAAATAAAGAGTCAATGGCTATATCGTAAATCATCATCCTCCGCATCGGTCTGCAGCGTTTCCAGCCGCAGCACCCGATCCTCCGCCAAGTCACCCGCCCGCATGAAGTACGGTCCCAACACCAACGTTACCCGAGCGAAGAATTTGCACAAGGAACTCAAAAAGTATGGGATTGAAAATTACAGTGGACGCTGGGTGGCGGAGCGGAACCGAATCGTATACTTTTGCAAAGACGACGAGACTCCGAATCATATCAAGGAAAAGTTCCCTCGTGTGTCGATTGGCAAAATCCTCTACGACAATCGAATCTTATGGGGGGAAAAGCTGCAGGCGAATTCCAGAATGCAGCCCAGATCCCCCTTTGTCTTGCCACGAACATGGCACGGAAGGATGGTCGTGAACACGGCCAACACGGCCAATCCCAACATGATCCAGTGGAAGCGCACACGCAACAGTAGCAACGATTCAACGTGCTAAATGCAAGCGATTCTTTCTCCTTTGGCAACTCGATTCCATTCCATTCCAAATGCAAACAGCTAGCGTGGTGCTCTGTGGACTAGTAGTATCCGTCTGGATGCTCCCCAAGTTCTGCCAGCAACGCGAATGGATTGTCGGTCTCTATTGAGCAACCAGATGCTCGCTGCTGGTGAAATTACTCTTCTCGTGTTCCGTCTTGGCAAATCATCAGGCTTTCTTCCCATTGTGTTTCCGCTCTGTATCGGTCTATCATGCTCTCAGTATCTTCTTGGGTTGCACCGATTTGTCTGATCCTATTGACACAAATTGGGATCCGATACAACGCACATTATCTCTTAATAGTATTTATAGAAGGATTGATTCAATCTACCATCAGCGTATCCTTGCCGATAGCTGGAAAGCATCTTTGTAGCTTTCGCCAACATTCACAACTTGAATGTCCCATCCCAGCTTTCTATACTGCTTTTAGCGGGGAGGCTAGAAGGCCATCTCGTTGGTGGTCTCTGGCTTTTTGCTTGCCTCGGAAGCCAAGTTCCCAGGTGTAGAGCAAAAGTATTGGGGATGGTGTTTTTGCCAGGGAGCAGAGGTTGAAAGGGCCCGAAATCAGGATTTTAAGAATCCAATTAAATTGATCAATTCCAAACCAAAATATAAAACCGAAACCAAAATATAAAACCGAAACCAAAATATAAAACCGAAACCAAATTACTATGGTAAATAACTAGTGAAATCAAGCCGAAACCTAAATATAAAATCGAAACCTAAATATAAAACCGAAACCAAAATAAAAAATCGAAACACAAGTATAAATCGGAATTTGGTGTAAATCGCCATTTCGGGCCCTTTCGTTGTGCACCCTTCGAAGCCAGAAGTCGAGAAGCATTATCCTTATTTAAGTCAGCGGGAGCTGCGATACCTCGGCAGAAAGACAGATAGAAGAAGGAGGATTATGTTTGGATTGCACCCATCTTTCAAGCTAGCCCTGGCGACAACACCCGACTACGTCGTGTGTTGCCGCCCGGTATCATTCGTTTCCTCATTGCAACCTTCTTTTTATTAAGCTAGCCCTGGCGACAACACCCGACTACGTCGTGTGTTGCCGCCCGCTACTCTATAATTTACCAGCTGCCATTCCCTTATTGTAACTCTAACCTTTACAGCTCCTGCTGGCTTATTGTGCTGTTGTGATGATTGCACTAACCTTAAATATTAATGATTTATTCCTACCCCTAACTTGTATTGAACCATCAATGTTCAGTTTTGTTGGCTTATGACTATCTCTATCCTTATACTTTGGCTTCACCGGAATAGGAAATAGGAAATAGCATTTTATTAAAGGGGTTGAGAACTCAGGCAGTTTACCTGCCGAGGTATTGGTGTTCTTTCTGTTGCTTGAGGCCTCCATGGTCATTGACCGCAAATTCGCATACGATCAAGCCTACGCTCTATGTGTTGGACATCCACAAATAAATGCATCAAGGCAAGGTCCAAC